TTTGGGAAATGGGGAAGTGTCCCCAAGAATCTTTCTGAAGCCGTCTCAGTCCAAAAGATGTTATCCTGTTTGCTAGTCCTGTCAGGTAGGCGTTTCTTGAAATGTCTTCTAGGGGTTGGTTCCGATTCCGTTCTATTCAACCATCGTTCTTTTCAAAAACCGATCGCTGTTTCCCCTGGGGTTCTGATGGTTTTCTGGAAAAAGAAGGAATTTGGGAAATGGGGAAGTGTGCCCAAGAAATCTTTCTGAAGCCGTCTCAGTCCAAAAGATGTTATCCTGTTTTCTAGTCAGGTTTATTGAAATGTCTTCTAGGGGTTGGTTCCGATTCCATTCTATTCAACCATCGTTCTGTTTCATAACCGATCGCTGTTTCCTCTGGTTGTTTTTCTTGAAATGTCTTCTAGGGGTTGGTTCCGGTTCCATTCTATTCAACCATCGTTGTTTTTAATAACCGATCGCTGTTTCCCCTGGGGTTCTGATGGTTTTCTGGAAAAAGAAGGAATTTGGGAAAGAATGGGGAAGTGTGCCCAAGAAATCTTTCTGAAGCCGTCTCAGTCCAAAAGATGTTATCCTGTTTGCTTGAAATGGGAGTTGATCCACTGCACGGCTCGGTCGTCTCCCAGAAGAATGGCAGTGGTGAATGACAAGGCTTGTCAATGAATGCCATGAGTGCCCCCTCCCCCACATATGACACAGTTGCTCCGGCACGTTGAGATCGTATGGCTCCTTTAAAGTATCTTGCGTGCCACCTGCTTGCGCTGGAAAGGTTGGTCTTGCGAGGTTTTTGCATGAGATCGGCCTTTCGCATGGTGAAATCCTGGCTTCCTTCTGCGGCCACTCATGCTGCGAGTGGGAAGCAGGGCCATCATGGCCGCCAAATCCAGGCCTTCCATTTACTGAAAGTAATACGTTTTTTTTGCCCTCTTGCTTTCAAATTTGGAATCTAGCACTGTTGGACATATTTTCATTTTTCCCAGGGAGCTTATATCAAAACTGATTTTTCCCAGGGCTTTCCTTGAGCAGTGCCCGACCCCCACCCCCACCCCGCGAAGAGGCGGACGTGAGGCCTCGCTCCGGCAGCAGGCAGGGGGCACCCAGCGTCCAAGCGGCAATAGCCATCCGGGCGTTTCTTTGTCTGGAGCTTTTTTGCGGTTGGTTTAGAGGTTGGTTGGTGCTTAGAGTTCCGAAATCGGCCCAAAAGTGAGTCACTCTTGGCAGGAAATTCGAGGACACCCTGGATGTGATTGCGCCTGAAGAAAAGGTTCTACCCTTATCAGGTTCCAGTTATGGGGTATACAACTGTTTCCTTTCGGACCACTGATCACCGGGGAGGTACTTTCAGAGCCAGGCCCTTTGAAGTTGGCTGGGTAGGTTTGTTGGGGGCTTCAGGGGAAGAGAGGAGGCAAGTTGACCTGGCAAGACTTTCCAGCGGCAATCGGCCCCCGCAGTCTCCCCATTTGGGTTTGGTTCTTTGCCCCACTGCGGTTGCACCCGTTCGTCCCAAGCCAAGTCCTGGGTTGCAAATGGCGCTCGCCACTCTTTAGCATCGTGTCAGCCACACGAGGGCCAGAGGAAGCGGATCATATCCGTGGCTCATGCAGCCTGACTCACCGACTCGCACCACTCAGCACTCCACTCCACTCCACCGCCGTGGGGAGGCCGTACCCGTACCCCACGCCCGAAGCATGCAATGCAAAGAAAGTAACTTCGCTGTTGTTGGCATGTCTTTTAGGTTTTGAGGTGTTTTGGTTCTGTTCATCTGTGGCATCTGGCTGCACAAAACAGCTGGTTTTTGCCAGATACCAAGAGTTGGAAAGATGATGCATGCAGAGCCCCAGCTGATTTTTCCCAGGCATAAAGTTGTCGCTGCCCGGAGGTTCGACTTCCTCTATGAGGGCGGTGACAAGGCACGATCTGATTTGATTCGGCGTCCACGTGAGTGGGTGAAACTCGTCTAGGGCCCTTTTACCCTTTTTTGGGGGAGGGTTCCCCTACTAAAATAGACAAAAACAAAAAACAAAAAAGCAAAAAAGTTGGTACCCTTATTCTAACCTCTTTACTGCAGGACCTAGTGGCTAACTCTTCCATGTTCAGTGCCCTTTACTCACCCACAAGGGCATTGCGCCATCCCATGGTTGTTGTTGGGAAATATTTTTCATTTTCGCTTATTCTGGTTGAGTGGGAAATCTTCACTTGCCTGCTAAGATTTCATTTTTTGCTCCCCTTCCAACGTCAACCAAGGTCCACCTTCACACTGGTGCATTGAAGTGGCCCTCTTCCAACTCAACGGCCATCGCAATTTCAAGGGGCCTCGGCTGCCGAAAAATCGTCCAAGCCTGGCTGGTTGTTGTCCATTGTCCGCATGTGTCAGAATGGCCCCCCAAAAGACTGGTTTCCTTTGATATCCCTTCAAACCAGTATTGAACAGTAGAACGGATAGTGAATTACCCTCGAATACACACGCACACAACCATGTCTGAAATCACGTCACTTCCACCCCTGCCATATATTTCGATAAGCAAATCTGGACGAGGGCCTACGCACTGAAACACACGCACAGATGGGTCTGTCTTTTTTGCGTGTCCCCATTTTTGGCGGTTTTAAATGGAAACCAAGGGAAAAAGCACATCACATAGTATTTATGTCTTGTTTGCTTTCTTTCTTTCTTCCTTGTTTCTTTCTTTCTTTCTTGATTTTTTTGGGGGAGGGTCCCCCAAAAAGAAAAGAAGAAAAGACATACCCATGTATTTCTGATGCTTACAAAACCCCAAGTGGTCAACTTTACGGCTCAGGCTCGCTCGGGCAGCGCGACACCCAGGGGCTTTGAAGCTCAAGCTTGGTGTGTTCTGGGGCCATTATTTTGATTTCTGGGGGTTGTCCAAGTCACAAAATGGAATCGGTTGTTTCCCTGCCCACCACTTAGGGAGTGACTTTGATTCTGGTGAAGTAGTGTGGGCAATTGTTCCTGTCTTCTGGTGGTTTGGTCTCATGGTTCATGAGTTTAACGCGGAATATCATAGGAATTTATTGGATGGGTGGTCAATCACATTCAAGTTGTGTTCAAAGGCCGAGGTGTGGCGCTTCGGCCTTTGAGCAAAGCAAGGGCAGACTTGACAAGGCCCTGCCCCCTGAAAAGGGACTTCTGGCCCAAGGTTTGGCATTTCGAGCAGGCCAGCCCTTGCGGAACCTGGACGCTATTTCAACAGCTCACACATGCTTTGACCGGCCGGCCGCTCGCCTTGGCTTCGCGAATCTCGATTCGCGAAAATTTGGCGCGGACCTCCACTGGTTTTTGTAGACTGCCCGACCTAGGTGGCTCATGCATGTTCCTGCGTCTTTTTGTTGGCGCCCATGGAGCCAACGACTGGTTCGAGCCAGTGATTCAACTGGAATCCCTGCTATGACTTCACACACCGGGCTTGGGAATTCATATTGCCACGCCTGGCTTGTTGCCTTGTCGAGAAAGGACCTCCTGGACGCAACAGGCAGAGAGAGAGAGAGGGAGAACGAACCCGCCATGTGAAAGAGCCGAGAACCAGCGGTAGCATCACAGGCTTCTTTGTGCAAGGAGGCCGCACAAGTCGGCCATTGGGTGTTTGCCAACATGGTGATGTGTGTTTTGTCTCACTCCCTGAGTTCATGGACTCTACATAGGTTTTGAGATGACAAAACTTTTGGTGGCAAACGAAAAGGTTGGTCACTTTGTTTGGCTTCCATCCACTCGTTCGGAAGTGAGTTGTTGCATATTGATTCGACTTTCTGGTTGCTTCAAACCCACCCAACTTAGACGCTCAGCTCATCTACCCAGCAAAAAAAAACAGGAACATCTGGTGAAATTCGGAGCTCATCCACCCATCTACCCAACTTGGACACTCATCTACCTCATGCCCCCGCTTTTCTTGGGTTCCCAGAAACCAGCCGGATATTCTGCGGGAGCCGTAGGCAGCCAGCCGAGGCGCCATCGATAAGCTCCGGTCCTGGCGCAATGGCAGTGCGGGCCCGAGCCCCCTTGAAGGGCTCCTCTCAAAAGATGTTTGTGAGCCATTTCCAACGGGAAGAACCCGCAGAAAACAAAGCCTCCGAAAAACAAAGAAACTAGTTGAAACGCATCACCTTTTGCCAATCTAAAGTGAGCCTCTTGCGGAAGTGATGTGTTGAGGCTGGGCATACAGGGAGCTCTGTGGCGACTTCTCAGGTTCGCTCTGAAAGGTTTCCGGAAACGAAAGCTGCAAAGCGAAAAAGACGGGGGCTTAAGTAACTGCATGTGTCCATGTTTCCTCTACAGTCTCGCCAAATTGGACCAGGCAATTACACTTTCAATGGGGGACACGGGCTGAGGTAGTTGCTGTGTTGTCATGGTTAGGATGTCACTTTTTGTGGTTGTTGATTCTCATTCCCAAGCTTGGGTGGAACCCCTCGCCGCAAGCATCGCAAAGCTGATGCATCCACAGGCCTGGCTCCAGCGGAAGCACAAAACAGAATCACGAAAGGCACCGAGTCGAAGGTCGTCAAACGGTTGTTCTGGAATTCTAGTTGGTCAAATCGTTATTTGTTTTGCTTTTGGGGCAAGTCTCAATGTATATTTTGTCACTCATTCACCAAATATCTATAGCAGGTTTGCACAGGCGGGCAATTGTGATTCAGTGTTTTTCCTGCACCCGAGCCCAAATTGATACTAGCATGTGCTGATCGGGTCGGATGAGAGCAACCCTGCTTGACACCAGCCCAAATAACTTTGGGTTGAATGCACCCTTGCCAACTACAGACTCCCTGACACTGTTTGATCATCCCCTAGCCAAGCCCTGTTTTCAACCCCCACAAATGTGCAAAAGCATCGTCCATTTGTACATGAACTCCTTGGGCACGAAATTCATATGGCTGTGGTTGTCAAAACCAATGGGATCCCATTTTGAAATATATTCACCACACTTTGGAACCTATTTTGTTGGTGATTGGGATGTTCACTGGGGGTACTGGCTTGTGACCCCTGGCCTTATAACGTTTTATTGTTTCTAAAGGAAACCAGAAGGCGACTGACCTCCATGGTCAGCCCCAGCCCCCGGTGCGCGGCCTTGCCATATGTGACTGCCTAGCCTCTCAGGAGGCGCGGCCAAAGCTCCGGTCCGGCTTAGGTTCTTCCGAATCCAATATGGGAGCCCACCAAAAATATTGAGCGCTAGCCACCCAGCCATATTAGAGTCCTCCCATAGCGTCAAGAGAGCGAGAGAGAGCCGTATGACAGCACCCTAGTCGTATGCCTTGATTTCAAGGCATGGGTGTTTCTCTTTTTCCATCACGCCCACCGTTGGATTGCTTAGGGAAAGAACACCAAGGACCGAGTAGGAGGCTTCCTACACTTCACCCTTGCCAAATTCAGTGGTTCAAAACTGACCTGTTCACCTTTTGACAAGGTCCCAAAAGTTTGAACCGTTCCTTTCAGGTCCGTTGGGGTGAGCACAGAGTGCTCAAAGGTACGGCTTCCAGGGCAAGCGCTTGATGCCCGCCATTGATATATGCGACTCGGACGAGGACAGAAGTTCAGCTCGGCGGATGTGCGCCGGAAGTTCCGGAAAAGCAAATGGAAGCTCCTCTCTCGTGTCAGGAGGATGCCGCGCTGGCGCGAAAGCGCGAGGCCATCCGTCGCAGGCGGGAGCAGGCGGAGGCGGAGCACGCAGAGGCCGCGGCCCAGGCGCGGAGGTGAGGCTGAGATGAATGGTTTGGCTCCGGTTGGAGAAGGGGGAGGTGTTATTTGGGTTGTGTATCGTTGCTTATTTCCCGGCTTTGGATTTGGAGCTTGGATGGGTGTGTGTGTGTGTGTGTGTTTGTGATGGGTTCTTGAATGTTGACAGCCTGTGGGTTCGAAGCAGCAATACAATCTCTTAGCTCCGAATTTACCTAGGTGTAGGATGCGCTTTCTTGTCGGCGTGCTGTCTGTGGGGTGGGGTTGAGGCGTGGCGTTGCTGGTGTCGGGTTGGTTGTTTGGTTTGTTTGGTTGGTTTGGCCTTGGGCTCATTTCCTACTCGAGGTTTCTTCGCATGCCGCGAGCCAATTTGAGCCACACTTCCCGCGCGCAGGAGCCAGAGAAGGAAAAGGAAGAGCCAAAGGCGCCTTTGAAGAATTTGGGTTGGTCGCATTGGTTTGAACTACCAAGCTGTGGACCGTTTTTGGTCCCCTTTTGAAAGGCAAACTGAGAAAAGGGGCTTGAAGTCCATAATTATGTGTGGGATGCAGCCTAGTCTCCAGAATCCCTATTCAAGGAAATTGACAAATGAGATGCAAGGCAACGGAGCTTGTCGGAACAGCGTTTGAATCTCTGTTGCGGCAAAACAGGCCGCCAAGCCTGCCGAGGCTTCCCCTGGCTTCCCTGGAAAGGTTCGATCCGATCAATCGGCAAGTTCCTTGAGAAACTCGTGGCTCATTCCAAGTTCTTGTCCTGTTTGGGTGGCTTCAGGTGAAATTCTCAGCTCCAAGAGGAGGGGCCCGGCGGTTTCCCGCCGAACTTCCCGTTGGACCCGGTCGGGTCACAACTGGTTGCGAGGTCGGCGCGCATGTGGGGCAGAGCGGTTCGATTGGGAAGGTGTTTGGCCGAGAAAACCTGCGCCACGTTTTGGGGGGCCACCCTGTGGGTTTCCTTGGGATGAGGAACTGTGGATGGACAAAATCCTGCACCTAAGAAGGCCTGGAATGCTGATTGCCCTGCGCATACCGAGCGACAACCGGTTTCCCATGGTTTCAAAGTGGTGCGAAATGGATGATTATAAAAAAAAAAAAAAAAGGACCGGATAACCCCACATGCTATGTTTTTTCCCAAGGATGTGAGTTCAAATGTCCACACACATGTACCGTGCGCCCCTTGTATGGATGCGATTACAGAGCAGGTCTAGCGCGCTTTTTTCATCGCAGGCGTTGCTAACCTACTGCAGCCCGAGCCGCTAATCAACAAAACAAAGCAAGTTCGAGACATTCTCGAACTTAGTCCATCTTGTTAGATTAGGGTCTGGCTTCCAGATCCGAGAAGTGTGAGTGAGTGTGAGTATGAATGCGAGCGAATGAGTGACAAAATGCTGCCCCTGCCACACAAACACACACCCAGATGCACAGAATGCTGCGCCTGCCACGACTTCGGCAATGGCATCTCCACACCCAGATGCACAGAATGCAGCGCCTGCCACGATTTCGCAACGGCATCGCCAAAGTGCTGCGCCTGCCACGATTTCGCACGCCCCCCGCCGCGCGCGCGACAACATCCTGTCCCTCTAGACAGCTGCCGAATGCGACCCCTGCCACACAAACACACACCCAGATGCACAGAATGCTGCGCCTGCCACGACTTCGGCAACGGCATCGCCAAAGTGCTGCGCCTGCCACGATTTCGCACGCCCCCCGCCGCGCGCGCGCCAACATCCTGTCCCTCTAGACAGCTGCCGAATGCTACCCCTGCCACACAAACACACACCCAGATGCACAGAATGCTGCGCCTGCCACGACTTCGGCAACGGCATCGCCAAAGTGCTGCGCCTGCCACGATTTCGCACGCCCCCCGCCGCGCGCGCGCCAACATCCTGTCCCTTTAGACAGCCGCAAATTTCTGCCCCTGCCACACAAACACACACCCAGATGCACAGAATGCTGCGGCTGCCACGACTTCGGCAATGGCATCTCCAAAGTGCTGCGCCTGCCACGATTTCGCACGCCCCCCGCCGCGCGCGCGACAACATCCTGTCCCCAGCTGCCGAATGCTGCGCCTGCCACGATTTCGCACGCCCCCGCCGCGCGCGCGACAACATCCTGTCCTTTTAGACAGCTGCCAAATGCTGCTGCCCTGCCACACAAACACACACCCCCAGATGCACAGAATGCTGCGCCTGCCACGACTTCGGCAATGGCATCGCCAAAGTGCTGCGCCTGCCACGATTTCGCACGCCCCCCGCCGCGCGCACGACAACATCCTGTCCCGTTAGACAGCTGCCGAACGCTGCGCCTGCCACGATTTCGCACGCCCCCCGCCGCGCGCGCGACAACATCCTGTCCTTTTAGACAGCTGCCAAATGCTGCCCCTGCCACACAAACACACACCCAGATGCACAGAATGCTGCGCCTGCCACGACTTCGGCAATGGCACCGCCAAAGTGCTGCGCCTGCCACGATTTCGCACGCCCCCCGCCGCGCGCGCGACAACATCCTGTCCCGTTAGACAGCTGCCGAACGCTGCGCCTGCCACGATTTCGCACGCCCCCCGCCGCGCGCGCGACAACATCCTGTCCTTTTAGACAGCTGCCAAATGCTGCCCCTGCCACACAAACACACACCCAGATGCACAGAATGCTGCGCCTGCCACGACTTCGGCAATGGCATCGCCAAAGTGCTGCGCCTGCCACGATTTCGCACGCCCCCCGCCGCGCGCGCGACAACATCCTGTCCCGTTAGACAGCTGCCGAACGCTGCGCCTGCCACGATTTCGCACGCCCCCCGCCGCGCGCGCGACAACATCCTGTCCTTTTAGACAGCTGCCAAATGCTGCCCCTGCGCGACAACATCCAGTCCCTTTACACGGTGTGAGTGAAAGCTGAGTGTGAGTGAGTCAGCGAGTGTGAGTGAGTGAGTGAGCGAGTGAGTGAGTGAGTGAGTGAATGAGAGTGAGTGAATGAGAGTGAGTGTGAGAGTGAGTGTGAGTGAGTGAGTGTGAGTGAGGTGAGTGAGTGAGTGAGTGAGTGTGAGTGAGTGTGAGTGAGTGAGTGTGAGTGAGTGTGAGTGACTGAGTGTGAGTGAGTGAGTGAGTGAGTGTGAGTGAGTGAGTGTGAGTGAGTGAGTGTGAGTGACTGAGTGTGAGTGAGTGAGTGTGAGCGAGTGTGAGTGAGTGAGTGTGAGTGAGTGAGTGTGAGTGAGCGTGAGTGAGTGAGTGTGAGTGAGTGTGAGTGAGTGAGTGAGAGTGAGTGAGTGAGTGTGAGCGAGTGAGTGAGTGAGTGAGTGAGACAGTGATGAGGAGGGAGGGCGGGAGGAGGAGGAGAAGGAGAAGGAGACGCGGCGCGCGGACGACGAGCGGTAAAAGTAAGAACCCCACACATAGATGTGGGGAAAAACGAACCACTGAAACCCCCCATTTTGATGAAAGCCCTACCGCTTCCCAGGCGCCGGTGCTGCCGGAAGGCCCCTGGACCTGCCCCTTCTGCGAGGAGAGCAACGGGGAGAAGCGCCCGGTGCTCGAAGGCGGCTTCCAGCCGTCCCCCTTGAGCTGTTTAGCCCTTTAAGATCCTTTTAGCCTTACCTCTTAAAAACACAACTTGTCTTAACCTTTTGGGGGGTAACGTGGGCCATATGTAAAAGATGAACTTCCCCAATCCTTGGAGTTTTAAGGGGTAAGTAGTTGGTTTAGCGGTAGTTTCCTTTTAACTCGCTAGAAGTTAGTCACTTTGAGCGGGGGATCTGAGGACAGCCAAGCTGGGTCGGGCTGTGGCTCGGGGATTGGAACCAGTTCTTGTAGAGGGTGAATGGGAAAACCATCCCCTATCCTCTGAACTACCAATCCAAATCACTGGTGTTTGAAAGTAGCCTATCACTCACCTGTCCTACGCGTGCTACTGGGTAGAGCCAAGTTGGTTCATAACCAACTTTGGGTGGAAGCAAGCCAAGGTCCTTTATCATCAGCGCCTGGCAATACGTGAAGGCTCCCTTGAGATCTCCGTGTTTCAACTTGTTTGCCAAAATGGGTGTACGATGTCGCACGCTCCCTAGAAGGAAGCATCCGGATAGTGCGTGGCACTCAGCGAGGATCGGCCGTGCTTTCGCTTTAAAACGGCTTCGGTTCGCTGCAAGCCAGGAAGCGCTAGATGTATGGGCGAAACACTGCGCCCTCCTTGTTTGGCCGAGATGCGTTTGGGTGAGTTGCTCCATCCCAAAAAACTGTCGGAGGATCGCGCTCCTTGAGCAGGGGGGGGGGGTTTTGTGTTATATATATATATATATATTTATTTATTTATATATATTTATTGTTTTCCTAAGGGGTACTGCTTACAGGTTTGGCAGGCACCTCAGCACTTCCAGTTCGAGGGGATGCTTCTCGGGCTGCGCGCCTGCGACTTCCACGCGTCACGCTTTCCTTGCCGGAGACTTCCTGTTGGTCGATGGTCCTTTGAGGGAAACCCCGGAATGCACCGAGCCGGGACTCCTGGGTTGCATGGACGAGCTCACTTCCACTGTGCGGAAGCTGCGCATATGGCGGCCGCAAGCTCCCTACAGGAAACCTATCTTCCAGGCAGTTGTTTTTTGCCTTTTTGGGTACAGTTCCCCTCTTTGCCACCGTGGGGACGGATTTGCAAGACTAGCATCTCTACGAGCGCAGCAGAATGAAGAACATCATGTTGATCCCGGATTAGCAAACCCGTCCTATTAGTAGGGGGTGTTCCTCCAAAAGTGATAAACCCCCACTAAAAGGGGGACACCCCCCTATGAATCAACAAGGGTTTATCAATCCGGAGTTGACGTTCCTCGGCGGCTCCCAGCCATCCCCTCTGTGTTTTTACCTTTTTAGTTGGTGTTGTGGTTGTTTTGTATTTATTCATTTTTTCGAGTTTAGCCCATTCAAAGTTAGTCACTTTCTAGCAGGGGTTCAGAAAACGGACAGCCTAGAGCCGTGAAACTAGGTCCCCCAGCTAGGTGCCCTTCTCACCCCTTTTTTGGTTTCCCCTAAAATAGGCTACAGGGAAGAAAAATCGGGACCCTTATTCTAAGCTCCCTACTGGGGGGCATAATAAAACAACATGCTACTGTCTTCCACGGACCCTGAGGGTTCATTCGGTGCGTGAAACGGACAGCCTAGCTTGGTCAAAGCTGGGCAATGCTCCTCGTTGCTCCCTGACTTCTAGCCGAGGTCTGAAGTGCAACAACTGCACCAAGCCCCGACCTGGCACGGAGGCGATGCGGGGCTTCAGATCCCTGGTTTGGTGGTGTCGTTTTGTCCACGAAACGTATCTAACCACGGCTGGCCACGGAATTTGGGGGGAGCCAAGATGGATTTTGGGGGGAGCCAAGATGGATTTTGGGGGGGGCAAGATGGATTTTGGGGGGAGTCAAGATGGATTTTGGGGGGAGCCAAGATGGATTTTGGGGGGGCCAAGATGGATTTTGGGGGGAGTCAAGATGGATTTTGGGGGGAGTCAAGATGGATTTTGGGGGAGCCAAGATGGATTTTGGGTCACGATCGCAGGGGAGAGGAGCCGCAAATACCACCAAAGTCACTTTGCAGATGATCAACCCGAAAAATACAATATCCACCATAAGGACCTGTCAGATGCGTAGTTCTCGTGTCGGGTGGTTTGGAGGGTGTGGTTGCCTTCCAAATCACCAAAGGACTGAGAATCTTAGAGTTCATGGCTTCGAACCCGTTTATGGCTTCGGCGCGTGGGAAACCAAAGCCCAGTTGCCGTTCGGAGTCCGGGACCCGCTTTGGATCCACCTCCCGAGGCTCAACGGAATTCTGCCACTGGTGAAAGCGCCTCGTCACCCGGCCTCCGGCCTGCATCCATGCCTTGGAGCTAACATCATGCACGCACGGCATCGCACTCGGGCTTGGGCCGACTCTCGAGGCAAGAAGCTTCAACTCTCCAATCACGGTTTGCCTTCCCGGCCGCTCTGTTTTTGGGGCTCGGCCTCAACCCCACCCCTCCTGCGGCAGTACTGGTATTTTGTGTTCGTGAGATGTTGAACAAAGCACGGGGATTCTTGGCTGTCAGATCGCTTTGCTACTTTACTATTGACGAAGCATCCTCTCAGAAGAAAATTAACAATTCTACGACATAACAATCATCCCCCCACACCTTCACCCCCAACCACACCACATTCCGAAACATACTTGTCTGTTTGGCCCAATTAAAGTTGAGTCTCTCCCAAGTGTCCGTGTGTCTCCATGTTTGGCGGTCTGTTGGGAGGTCCCAGGGGTGCGACACTGAGATGTGCCAGGAGGTTGCGGCGGCGGCGCCCGCGCCACCCCCTTCTGCCAGGCCGGAGCGGATTGACCATGGGTCGTAGGTACCAAGAGGCGAACCAGCACCTCTTCCCATATGAAGCTTTCGGACTTTCACTTTTTGGGGTTGGACCATGTTGGTGATTAACAAAAAGTTTGGTTGCTCCTTCTGACCAATCAACTCAGGAAGTGAGGAAGTGAGGTTGCTCGGGGGTGATGAGACTAAGAGGGAACGGAAAACTATGAGCTTTGTTCATAGGCAGCCACCGATCCAAAAAGTGGTTGGTAGACCATCCCCGAATTCTGATGTCCACGAAAAGCGATGCCCCAACATTTCGGGAGCGGCTATTCCTGAGGCGCAAGCGCAAGGGCTGGGATGACTGGGACGAGCAGGCGAAGAAGGCGGCAGCAAAGGCGAGCGCAGCCAACGCCTGCCTCATGATGCTTGAATGGAACAAGCCGAAACCGGCGTCACTCACAGAACTGACAGGTAGACGAATTCTCCCAATCCGTTTGCTGAAATCACGTGTTTTCGATTGATTCCATTTGCTGAAATCAAGATGCTGTATTTTCCAACAGTTGGTTTTAGAGGGAATCGATTTCACTACTCGAAATATGTCCTCATGTTGCCTAGTCTATGCTGTGGGATCGGTCCATGTGACACTTTCCTGAAACACAGCATACACCAGATTCCAGATGCCTGTGTCGGCACTGATTACTTGGATTCAAAAGCATGCCTGCCGTATCTTGAACTCCTGCTAGGTGGTTTGCTTCTCTTTTTGACTTCCCCTCATTGAAATACAGGTTGCACACGTCTGTTCGGAGTAAGCATCGCACTGGTCACCGGGTTCTCCGTCAATTGGTGCAATGTGCCATGAGACCTGAGAAAAGGGCGTCCTCTGACAAAGGGACGCCCAGGCTCAGGTGTGGGTCCAACATTTGTTGAGGCTCGGTAATGTTGACCCCGTATTAGTATGTAACCCCCCCCCCCCCTCGAAGGTCGGGAAGGTTGTTGGGGGGGAAGATTTGTTGCCACCCCCCCCTAAATAATCTGGAGTTGAGTTTCCATTTGTTTAGTATTGCTAGAGCTCCCTTTTGAGATTTGGAATTGAGTTTCCATTTGATTTAGTATTGCTGGAGCTCCCTTTTGAGATCTGGAATTGAGTTTCCATTTGATTTAGTTTTGCTGGGGCTTCCTTTTGAGATCTGGAATTGAGTTTCCATTTGATTTAGTATTGCTGGGGCTTCCTGTTGAGATCTGGAATTGAGTTTCCATTTGATTTAGTATTGCTGGGGCTCAAGAAACTTATGAGTGGGTTACAACGAAGGTTGCCAACACCTTGCTAAGTTGCCCGAACACCCAAACATAGTTTTGCCCGATGGCACGAGAGAGAGAGAGAGAGAGAGAGAGAGAGAGAGAGAGAGAGAGAGAGAGAGAGAGAGAGAGAGAGAGAGAGAGAGAGAGAGAGAGAGAGAGAGAGAGTTTTGTAGGGTGCCATCGCGGGGACGCCAGTTGCGGGCAAAGGGCAGCCGATCCAAATGCTGGTTGCCGCCCAGTCCAAGATATTGAGAGCCTTTGAGTGGGCGGTTAGAACGTGCATTCTGCAGCTTCAATTTTGAAGCCCGTTGAGGGAACAAAGTGGAGTTTGGAGTTTAGGTGTTGCTTTCCCGTGTGCCCCCAACAAGAACAAGAGGATAAATAACTAACCCCTCAGTCGTATCCTCAAGAGTGTCCCTCCGAAAATGTTTGGTCGGTCGGAGGGGTTCATCTTACAAAAGGGCCATGTGGGTGGTACATATGTTGCAAATTTCGGGGAGGGGGGTAGCAATTTCAGGGCACATCTCCAGTCTTCTTGTAATTTGCGATCTGGGTTTGTCTCAAAATCCCAAGGTCTTCTTTTGTTTTTCCTTAACCAGCTCCAAAAAGAGGACCCTCAAAAATCAGAGTACATCTCTAGACTCCTTGCAACCGGAGATATGTGTTTGTCTCAAACTCCTCAGATTTTCCGGTGGATTGCCTTTCAACCAGCTCAACGAGGACCCTCAAAACAGATCCGATGGCTCCAGTAAGTTGAGCTCGGGGAGTTTGCCTCAGGAAGGATGTGGTGAACCGCTCCTCGGCGACTCCGATGGACGTGCGTCTTCCCGGCAGGTTCCCATGGACCCGTAGAGTTGGAAAAAGAAATCCAGCCTACGGTGGATTTGGATCTTGATTGGGGGCCCTTTGGTGGACCTAGGGTTGATTTGGATCTGAATTTTGATTGGCCCTTTGGTTTTGGTGGACCCCATTTAGGTGGGGATCCATGTCCACCAACCCACTTTGGAGGGGGGTTGCCTATGAAACTTCCATGGTCCTTTTGGGAGGGACCTTAGGGGAGGGGACGCAAGTAAATTTCACCGGCTCCTTTCAGGTGGCGTTTCCTCTTGGGGTGCCCACTTGCATCAGGGCCCAGGTGTTCCATACTTCCTCGAAGAACAAGTTGGCTTTATGCAGCCCTTTTGGCCAAACACCGGGGAATTTCCCTATGAATTTCCCGGAGTGAAGGTAGTTTGCAGCCATATCTCGTTTGCCCTTATTGCAAGTTCTTCTTTGTTGAGCAATCAAAACTTGGGTGATCGAAGGCTACAGTTCCAACCCATGAATCGGTGCGGATCTCCGCCCTAGCGCTTGAGCCGGGAGCCCGGTGGGAACTGGGGATTTGAACCCCGAGTTCTTGAGGGTAAATGGGACACCGCGAACCACCAAACCATCCAAAACCCCGAGAAGTGGGAACCTGACACCAGGAAAGATGCCCTCACTCGGGACTCGGAAGTAAAGGCTCTGCAAAATTTTACCCCTGAAACCTCGATGAATCAAGGGTCCCAATCCCCGGATTCCTTTCTAAGGCGACCCCCTTCATAACATGTGGGGGGAGGGGGGTTATTAGTCAGAGGTCAACATTAAGGGTTTGGGTCCGGATGTGGGTTTTAGCTAGAACTGATTTCCAGTCGAAGGAAGAACCTGCGCACGCGTGTCGTGACGATTTTGGGGGCGGATACCACCAGTGGTTCCGCGCACCGTGATGAAGCTTTCTTACTTGGAGGGGCTTTGCATTTCCTGCTTATGAGTTATGGTACTTGAGCCACTTGCTCAGAACCCCGGGAGACGAAGACTAGTAAGGGACAATCCGAGAATCCAACCATAAATGGGTGCAGCCGCCCTTTCTGTTTATTTACACATATGGGTGAACAATTTCAATCAACGATTGGGGGGGGTGTCGTGGGGGTCGGCCCGAAAAATTTCAAGGAACTTGTTGTTTTTTTCAGTTTCCTTCGTTGTTTGTTGCCGAAAAAAAGAATCTTCAGACCAATGGCTGTGGAGTGAGGGTTTTTGAAACAAGCGGCCCAGGCTGGAAGCCCACAGTGGAGCAGCTGAACGCTATGACGGTGCCTTTGTAGCGAGAGAGGGCTTGTATGTGTCCACGGGAAAAACCGCAGTTGTTCAGTGGCACCCTTTTTCCCTCTTTTTTTTTCGTGGCTGCCCCACTAAAAATGGTCTTCCCCAACAAAGGGGTCCTTTTTTTGCCAGGGTCACTGAACGACTGAGAAACATGACGCTTTCTCATGTTGGGCCCTCCAATCCGAGCAGCGAAGTTCTCTCTGGGGTGAGGTGAGGGGGGAGAGCAGCTCACTGATTCGTGGGGGTCCCTTCCAGGTTTTGGAAGTGTCGAATTAGAGATGCGCTTTAGATTGCAACCGCAACCAAACGTGAAACACGACAGAAGAAACAGGGCTCCTTAAAAGATACACTTTGCCCATTTGAAACATTTTGCTTTTTCCACACCAAAATAAGGGGAAACCACCATTGACAAGTTGCAATGTTCAGGTGGGTCCATTGTGTGTTTCGTTCACGTGTTGTTCTATCATAAGCGAATCGGCCGAATTGCCGTTTGGCTCAAGTTTTTACCTCCCGTCAAGTGGGGATAGGACTCACGCTCGTGCGCCATTCACTGGCAGCTTTCTTCGTCCTCGAGCCGAAAAGGGTCGGGGCCGCGGGCGGCTGGGTGTAGGAGGTGCTCGGTGGGTCGCGCTGTTCTACTTGGGCTTGGTATTGAACTTAATCCTCTTCAACTTGATTTCAAACATCCCCATACTTCTCCTTTGTCAACCGTCACTTCCTCAACCCGGTCATCATCCACAGCTTCACCCGAGTTGTGTTTCCGGGTGCTTTGGGTACATCGTGATCTACTTTGTGCTCATTTGCTTCCCTGGGCTACTTCGTGTTCGCCCAAAACCGCAGGTTATCAGCCGTACCAGCTAGAAGCTGGGGCTGGTGATCCGGTTGCGGGACGTGACCCGCTACCTGCTCCTTCGCCTACTTGTACGTACAATGGCGTCCCCTGGAGCTTCACATCGTGGGCCAGGCTTCGTGGACGACGAGGCCAACGCCCTTCGCGGCAACGCCGCGCATGCTGCCCCCGGCTTAGACAGCCGGCTGTGGCCCCTTCCCCCGATGGTGGGAGTCAGAGCCCAATCCCGGGGTGATCACGGACGATTGGATCCTTTCTCAGGTCGTGTTTGATGAGGATGCGGAGGCCCCTATCCCGGCGGCAGTGCTCCAGATCGAGGACGGACCCCCTCTAGAAGAGGCTGTGGTTCCTCCAAATCAGGTGCCCTCATCGATTTCGCCTACTGTTCCATTTGTGGCGCTCCAGATCGAAGACCAGGCTGCCCATCCTGCTGCTCATCCGGAGCCGGTTCAATCTTGGTCCCTTACATGGGATCAGTTTGACCAGCTCCTCGGGAGTGGATCGCAGGCCACGCCGCCTGATTTCGGTCGACTTGACTTCGATTCGGGTGTCCCCATCTCGGTTGGGAATCTGGATTTTCAATCCCTTTTTGATGCTGATTGGAGGTCTCAACCTTCCCGAACTGACAGATCTTTCGACGCCCTGCCTACGCATGAGCCTATTCAGGGTTTTCTGCGTGGTGGAGAAAATGACCCCATTGAAGATTTCTCCCCTTCTCAAGTTGCAGGTTCGGCCCAACCTGAGGCGGGCGAACGGGCGATTGAGGATTGGCCGCAAATAGCTGGCCTTCCTCCTGTCTCAGGTTCATCTGATGTTGACATCATTCACGATCACCTTAGTCCGGCGGATATGGACTTCATCCCTGATGCAGTATCATCTCACTTGTCAGGTACCCGCGGCCGGGATGCGGACCGCTACAACGCTGGTCCAAATCCACCGCTCTCCTCAGGTACTCAAGATCGGGACGCGAACCGCTATAACGCGGGCACAAATCCGCCAAATCAAGCATCAGGTACTCATCGATCGGACACGGGCCGCGAAACAGCAGGCCCAAATCCTTCCTCCACTTCGTCGAGAAGCCATGCCGGTCTCTTCGCGGCCTTCAATCGGCATCGGACTCGGAAAGAGTCCGCGCCAGACGTCATCGACCTCGAAGAGCAGTCCAGCCACCGTACCAGCGATGAATCCGAGCAGGGTGCACCTGGTATTGGGTCTACTCCCTTCGACCTTCTCGACATCCCCTTCCATCAGCCACCCAGGAGAGGAAATGAAGATGATGAAACCATCCCTGGGATCCTCGATGTAATCGATGAGGCCGAGGTCACACCAGAGAGACGAACGACATCGCTCCCGCCGAGCCGCGTTGCCAAAGTACTTTCCCCTAAGCCATTCAATGATGACGTTGCTCAGCGGCTTGATCTCACTCAACCTGACCCAGATCAAGCTCAACATCGTGGATCGTCATCGTTCGATAATGTGTCGGGACAAACCGGCACTGACTCGCGAGCCACAAAGAGAAGCTCTGAGTCGCCCGAAAGACGTGAAGCTGCCCTCCGATTGCGATCTAATCCCCCCGCTCATCACGACCCTGTTGACGTTCCTATCCACTCCGCGGGATCTGGGCTCAGCTCCAATGCACCGATGTCTGAGAAGGAGACTGATGACGGGATCAACTCTACGCCCAGGAACCGGAGACCTGGACTTGGCACCGTTGCCCCTGGAAACGGGGGGCTTCCATCAAATCAACCGGTCAACAACTCCATCATCCCTACATTCTTTCAAATTGGAACTCCGGGCTGCACTCCCGACAGGAATGAGGATAGGCGTGGAGCTTATGACGCTGATAGTCGTCCTGCCCCGTCTGCATCCGCCGCCACCTATAGCGAGACCACAAACAGCCTGAGCGTTGCCGATCCTGAACGACCTGGAGCTGCGCCAGCAATTTCCTAACGCAGCGGACTACCCTGCTGCGCCGCCCGCCTCTCCGACCAAGCCCTTCAGCGTGGACCACATGCTGGGCCCGAGCTTCGTCTCCGGCGCAGCAGGTCTTTGAGTTTGTCAGGATGATGGCGCACAACGAGGTCTACCTGCGCTGCGCCCAGCTGGCCAACGCCAGCCGAGTGCTGGGCAGAAGAGCGGCGTGGGCACCATCGTTGAGACCGGCTCCGACGACGGGCACTTCATGGCACTCAGGGGCCCCGTCACCCTGAGGCACATGCGCTTCCGGCTGACCGACCTGGACGGCAACGTTGTCCGGCTTCGAGGTTTGTCTTTGTCGTTCGTGTTATATCTTGACCACGTATAATAAATGGAGCCGACCGAACAAGAGGCGCCGGAGGCGCACGCTGCGCCGGAGGCACCACACGCTGCGCCGGAGGCGCAAGAGGCACCGGAGCCGAAACGACGTGGGAGCAAAAACAAACCGAAACAGGACGTGCCCACCGAGCCGGCTGCCCCAAAGCGCAAGCCAAAGCCGGTTGAGATGACACCAACGGAGGCACCGGCAGAGGCACCGCCGGAGGCACCGCCGGAGGCACCGCCGGCCGAGGCGCCTCAGCTCACAAGAGAGCAGCAGCGCGCCCTGCGCATGCTGGAGAGGCAGTCTGCTTATGACCGGTTGCCACAGGCGCAAGCGTGCTAGTGTAAAAGCAACATGATGTCCATAGAGCCCCGCAACGAGCCGCAGATGCTCCGGTGGTTCCGCAAGACCTATCCGAGCTATAACCTGCAGCCGCTGCTGCTGAAGCGCTACCGAGAACTGGAGGACGCGCGGGCCTTCAACAACTGGCTAGGCGAGCGCAGGGGCAGCGGCACCTGGACGACGTGAGCCGGCTGACGGAGGCCGTGCACCGCCAGGTACCCCAGCTGCGCTACGCGCGGGCCGAGCGCCGGGGCGTGGAACGGGCGGCGGACGAAGTTGCCGCGCAGTAAAAGAAATGAAGACGCTTCGGGCGCACGGCTTCAACCAGCGCCCGCGCTTTGAGCAGGGGAACTTCCTCCGGGCGTGCCTCGGACCACTCGTGCGGCCGATGAGTTGCGACCCCACCGAGATGACGATCGATCAAGGACCGCGCTTGGGGCTCGCGAGGATCGTCGCGGCCCTAAGGGTGAGGCGAAGGGTCGAGGGAGACACCGACCTGGTAAAGGTCGACGCGAGGATCCTGGCCCGCCCCGACAAAGGGATGATCGTGGCAGGGATACCCGCGGAGGCCGACGCGATGATCGCCGACCTCCTCCACGCCGTGAGGAGCCCTCCGAGAGGCGCGGTCCGGGGCGAGATGAGCGCCGCGGACGTGATGGCCCCGCCGATGACCGTCGCGATCGCCACAGAGACCGGCGCAGGGATGACCGACGTCACCAATCAGATCCCCCTCCGCCTCGCCGACCCCCGGCTGGCGACCGCAGTAGAGATGGTGATGAGGATCGCCGTCGGGATGGAGGAGGCGACCGAGGTGACCGCGGTGGACGTCGGAGAGATGACGCGCCCAGAGACCGGGAAGAACCCGGTTCAGGGTGGTAGGCAGGTACCGCAATCAGCATCCGCCTTAGAAGGGCGAGGATGGCGCACGTGTCGCCGAAAAAGGCGACTGCACCGATCCTCTTCTCGCCCATGCGGCACTGCTGGGGGTGATGGTCTCCATTGCCCTGTACCGCTGATCCGGCGTTGTTCGTGTTCCTCCCGCACCGCTGCCGTGCGCGCTGGAGACGGTTCCCCTGGTGATCCTGTGTGAGGCTGTGACCGCACTAGAAGTGCCGGGCCGGCCGTAGCCGGATATTTTCTCACCAATTTCGGAACATCTCTATCTTTTTCTTCCAAACTCGGTACCACCTCCAACCACATTGCGACATGCTGTGAGGCGCGGTGATCCAGATAGGGTCCCCCTCCGCGTGTTACTGTCCCATGACAATACATGAACGGCACGAGAGGAATCTTCGTCTGGCTCCTCCAATATGTCCTTGTTCACTCACGTGGCCCATTCGTCAAATAACCCTGTCGCCCCGCTAATTCGGGGTGGTGGCGGGATTTTAACTGGGGCCCAGGTGCTGCCGTTTGGCTCACCTCTGAGTTGACACTGGCATTTTTGGTTGGTTCCTTTCGTCGTGAACTCAACTGTCTTGCATCCTTTCTCTCGTCCAGATATCGGATGAGGGGGGTGTGTTTCGTTCACGTGTTGTTCTATCATAAGCGAATCGGCCGAATGGCCGTTTGGCTCAAGTTTTTACCTCCCGTCAAGTGGGGATAGGACTCACGCTCGCGCGCCATTCACTGGCAGCTTTCTTCGTCCTCGAGCCGAAAAGGGTCGGGGCCGCGGGCGGCTGGGTGTAGGAGGTGCTCGGTGGGTCGCGCTGTTCTACTTGGGCTTGGTATTGAACTTAATCCTCTTCAACTTGATTTCAAACATCCCCATACTTCTCCTTTGTCAACCGTCACTTCCTCAACCCGGTCATCATCCACAGCTTCACCCGAGTTGTGTTTCCGGGTGCTTTGGGTACATCGTGATCTACTTTGTGCTCATTTGCTTCCCTGGGCTACTTCGTGTTCGCCCAAAACCGCACATTGTAATCCCTGAGAAACATCAGGGGTCACAGCTTAGCACCTCCAGCCTAGGCTCTCATCGCGTTTTCCATCGGCTCCTGGGGGTTCGCTCCATCTCAGAACGAGTCGATGCGCAGACACCGTGGATTCAGCTTTTTTTAGCCCCTCAGCGGCTAGTGGTTCTTGTGTTTTGTGGCACGTACCTAGGCCTTTGTTGGATGAGGACAGTATGAAGTGTGTGCTTCCCTCATAGGCTCTTCCGCGAGACTGGAGCAGAACACATCATCAGTCGCATCATCATCTCCTAACACAAGCGCAAGATAGCTATATATAGTTTGCCCCTGCAATCATGGCCAAATGTGGGCTTAAAGTACACCGCACCCCATTCTACTTGTTTAGGCCCTAGTGCCCGCCCTAAAACAAACGTGAACGGTTTCAGAAGGCCACTGTAAATGGAACCAAGTCTTGCGAAGAGGTTCTGGGAGCTTCAAATTGAGAGGGTTCAAGTGTCTGTTGTATGCGCCTTTTTGCCTCCGATGGGCAGACATTTGCAGGAAGCCTGGCGCCACCTGCCCATAGGTGCCCCTTTTAGGTTAGTTCGATTACAAAATAGATGGGTTCCACTGGCTTAGATTGGTTCTTTTCCATTTACCACGGCCAGCTATTTCTCGAACAAGACCCATGCACTCCATTCTTTATGCCACATAGGCGGTTTCCCTTCCGGTGGTTCCACGGGCTACGGGCTCGGAAAAGGTCTGAGAAAATGAGGCGTTTGGTCTGATCGCCCAACAGCGGCTGGGTGTGTCCGGAAGGTGGCGGAGCTGGGCCCGATTTGCAAGACCTGGAAGATCTCCATCGAGCCCAAGGACTGGGGCCGAAATTCCCCGCTGAAGGGCTGTGCCGCCGTGCCGCCATGCCCCCCCCAAAAAAAACAAAAAAAAAAACGCCCCCCCCCTTATTAAAAGGTCTGGGAGTACCTGCCATTTCCATTCTTTCCTGGGATTAGTAGAAAACCTCGAGAAAACCAAACTGGTTTTTGGACAAGAACGATGGTTGAAAAGAATGAATGGGGAATCCAGCCCAAGAAAGGGGCCCTCTTTATCCCTCCCCGAGGTTCCACCCCTAGCCCTTTTGGGTGCGAGCCACAAACGGAACCCACCTCAAGGGTTCACAATTCGTTTGCAGCGCTCGCGAGATCCTTGGTGATTAGGGCTGGTGTGGCAGCGAAACAAATGGGAATGACATCCAGTAGGCATTCCTCCATGCCGGTTTCAAGCTGCAGCTCGTGGAAGGGAGCCGGACTGGGGGTGTCCAAATTTGCTTCTAAAGCGAGAGCCTTGCCGAGCTGCGGGGTTTTGGTTAGGGGTATGACAGATTGGATTCTACATGTCGGCTGAGAAAAGTTCTGGCGAATGTACCCCAGCGCTACTAGGGCCTTGAGGTTTCTGATTCATTTCTGCAGATGTTTGCGTCAAGTCAAATCGTAGCAAGGTTCGTCATTGCAACCCTTGTCTACCCAATCCGTCGAAACACCGCCGGTGTGAAGTTGGCTTCGGTTGCATATGTGAGAGCGTTTGCCTTCCCTTCAGTTTCGGAAACTGACCGGGTTTTGGCTGACGACTTTTCTTTTGGAGAACCCCCTGTCCACTTCCATGCTGTGTTGCCTTCACTATTGTTTGCAAGTTGTGAAGTCTTCATTTTCAGCCGGCCGCCCAAAAAAAGCGCTCCTCAGTTGGTTTGTTATTTTCTCGCAAGCCCACACCGTTCGGGCAAAGCGGCCCCCCGTTCCTCGCTGATCCGGTCGAGGAGTACATGCGCGACGTGATGCTGAGCAAAGCTTTGAAGGCACGAGTCGCCTTTCGGAGCTTCAGGGAGCGGACCTCGCTGTGCGGTGGTGGCGAAATCCAGAAATCGCACCACTTTGAAACCACGGGGAACCATTGTTTGCTTGCTATTTTAGGGGAATCGAATCCATCCAGGGTTTCTTAGGTGGTGCGAAATGATTTCGTCCATCCACAGTACTTCCACTGGCGATTGGGCCTGGCTCCCAGCATGTGCATGAAGGATATTTCACGGCGGCTGAAATTTTCCCTGGCGGCTTTAAAGGGAATCGATTTCACTACAGCATATAGGATTTATTTTTTCCGGGACACCTAAGCAAATGGATGCACATGGGTGTGTTTCTTTTGAGGTTGGAGCCCCCAAATCCCACTCGCCTCAAGCAACTCGACCTTCTTTCAATCTTTAGTCCATGTTCAGCCAAGGTTCCACAAGGTTAAGCCTGTTATTTCCAGGTCCTTTGGGCAAGTAAGAAATTGTGATTGTCCTTTTGTGGTTTCCCTTTTAACTCCAACACAAAAAGGGTACTCTCAAAAAGACTAGTATACAATTCCAGGGTGGTGTAAAGGCTGAAGTTAGCATCAACCCACCGAAAAGACATGATTTAGCCCTTTGCTACTGGGGCCACGCGGCAACTGGGTTTCGATGGTAGGAGGTTCTCTGCGAATAGGTCAGTCAAAAGAGTGCCCGCGGGCTAGGGCTCAGCAAGCGTTCAACTTCAGACTCAGCTGCCCTTTCAACAAGCATGGAAGTGCGCAGGCCATTTTTTTCAAAACAACATGCATGCATCCATTTGCTCAAGAATATGTTTTCCCTTGTTGGTTTTAATAGGAATTTATCACCACTGGAAATATTGTTTACTTTTTCCAGGGGCCTTAACTAAATTGAAAATGGAATGATATTGTCTTCGGAAGCAAAGGGATGTTGGGAGGGTCTGGAAGGGTAAATCACCTTTTTGACTCTGGATTTCCTTCATGCTCTTCCGCAGCCAGCAAACCAAACAAAAAGCAGCTTCGAAGTACTAGGTTGGATCAGCCTGGCGTCAACAAGTTCAGCTGCTTGCTGATTGAAATTGACAGCGAGCTTCATGGATGCTGCGCAAAGGTTTCAAGAAGTGAAGATGTTATTTTAACCAACCCGCCCTCGTTTATCAGCCAGGGAGGACTATTCCGGGGCTCCTGCCAAGGGGGACTGGCCATTGCAGCTAGTGTGTGTGATTTAGACTAACCCGCGATAGCCATGCCAAGCATTCCAAGGGTCGACCATGCACCTGATCACTGTGCTCCTGGGTCCGGTGGCCATGCAAACGGGGGACCTGCTGCTCGCCGTGCAATGACAGCTCTCTGATTTGCTTCGAAGGCCATTTGCCAGAACGTCACAGCACAACCCCACGCGCCCCAGCGAATGGGATGATAACCAGGGAGGCCTATGCCTGGTGCGCAAGACACATGTTGCTGGCTAAGCTCAATTCGCATAGGAGCTTAGTAGCGCCCCAGTGCACATTAGACCTTGATTGGAGCCAGGGTGCCTCCAATTCACATAGCTCATGTGGCAGGCAGTGTCAATTGTCCCTCGCCTTGTCAGGTGATCCACGGCGTGGAGTCGTGAGCCGTTGCCATTTTCGCTCGCGCGCTCATTCGCCCGTAGCGAATATTCGGTGGGGAAAAAGGCAGGGCGACTTTGCAGGGCCTGTGCTTGTCGAGTGATCCCAATCCGAACATCAGCCCAAGCAGCCATTTTTTTTTAATTTTGCGACTCTTTGTTTCGGGAGGGCTTCACATGCAGGGCCTAAGGGTACCCCTTCTGGTTTCAGCACATGCGTCCGTCCTGCTTTGGAGTTGGTACCCCGTTGTCAGCGTTTCTTTCAAGAACAAAAGGACAACAAAGGCCCTTTGGGGGGTCCGAATCCTCAGACGAGACTGCCCGCTCGAGGCCTGAAATACTGGAAGAGCCTGGCATCCTTTGAAAAGAAGGAGGACCCCCAGGCAGTCGGGCGATTCGGACCTCTGGTCCCGTCTGTGGCCACCAAGGTCAGGGGTCTGCAAATGCGTGCAGGTGGCTCAAGAGCACTCCCGGGAACGAGGGAAATAAGGGGGCCCCAAACCGGTGCAAGGTTGAAAGCGACCAGACAAGGGCTACTTAAAGGGGCAGGGTACGTAGTAAGTGGCTAGTAAGCCTGGTCCTCACCCACTTAGGAAACTTATAACCATGATAAGTGAGTTGTAACCATGGTTATTACCCACTTGCAAGTACAACGCTCCTTCTAAGTAGTCGCGAGAGCAACTGATGGGCTCCTTTCCCCATTCTCCCCAAAATACTTTCAACAGTCCAAATCCACCTGCGGGTCTTTTTCTAAAGCCGCTCGCTTTTCAACGTGCCGGAGCATTGAACCCGTTCAAGCTTGTTGTTCAACCGTTCCGTGGCGGGTTGCCTCCAACACAAGTGAATGAGTGAATTGTGAGCACCCTGGTTGATTTGAACCAGGTTCCATCTGACCCCAACCAGCCAACCATTCTCCATGGTATAGGCCGCACGTGAGCTCTTCACCCGGCTGCGCTTGAATGGTCAACCCAAAAGGTTGACACCCCGCAGGGTCACTAAGTCAACCACATTTCTCCCTCCCTTCAACACAAAGAGGGGGCTCAACACCAAAACACTGGACCCGTTTTCTCGAAGAAACGAGTCTGGGGCTCAACGAACGGGACGCGCACAGCGAGCGCCAGGGCATCATTCCTTTGCTGGGCATCACCAAGGTCTACATCGCCGAAGCCTTTGCCCGAACTCGCGGCAGAAAGCCTCGAATTCCACCACAAACATCAGGGGGAAGTCGCGAATGTCCAGGTTCTTGAGGTTGGCTCGTGTTCCAGGGTCGACTCACCCTGGTGGCTTTCATGATGGGGGTTGGTCTCAAAACAAGGCTCGGAACCCCGAAACTTGCTGGCGTCCTTGTGGCTTGCACAAAATAGACACATCAAGGCAGACGATGTTTGGATCGTTGTTCCTTGAGCCGCTTCCCAAGGCGGAAGAACCGAAGCTCGCTTGTTCTTTGTCCAAACCAAAACCTCGAGTGCGCACGCCACAGGCTACTTCAGCAATTGTGCACCACCCCATGGCTTGCACAGAAACGAGAACTCATAAAATCCACAACTTAACACACATGGAGCTCTTTGCTCACCTATTTCTGGCAGGACCCTTTCATTAATGACTTCTCATGAAAGATATGAAAGGGGTGGCTTCCAGAGTTGTGTCAAACGGCCGCTATTCTTTCGGGCTGGTTTCTAGGGGGTAGGACGAGAGGCCGGGAACAGTGCGCCCGCTGTGCGCTTTACAGTTGCCCAAAAGGAACCGTGGAAGTATTGAGACATCCCTTTCCTTAAAATGGGTCGGACTCTGCGAAGCCTCGGCCTGCGTCCTGTTTGTGTTGAGGAGGTGAATCGGAGTGGTTCATCGGAGTGGTTCACATTCAGCCCTGATCTAGCGATATTTGTTGCTGACGTTCTGGCAGTTTCTGGAGGACTCATGGTTTGCAGTATCAAGTCCGAAACTGACGACCATACCCTGGCCATCGTGAAAGGACCAAAAGGAGGCGATTGAAACAAGGTTGAATCGGCTGAATCGAATCGCTCAGCCCTGGTCCTTACTGCTTCTGAAAGCGGGCAGCGTGTCATTGCCTGGGGTGACTGCTATTTGGTTGGATCTTTTCGAGCGGTGGAACATGTCCTCACGTGCTCGTTCCATCTTTCGTCCTTCCAAAAGTTGATCGCCGGTTGCTTCCTGGGGCGGGCCTTGAGCCGTGATTGTCAGACTGCAGAGGCGAGGGCCACCAGGGCAAGTTGCTCAAGCATCTGACCCAACCAAAGCATGATGCCACATACCCCGTTCCAGTTGTCACAGTTGGTAACCGGGTATTCTCACCTCGTCTGAAATGATGGCACTCGGTCGCGAGCCTGAGGACGAAGAGAACAAAAGTGATGTGATCGCCCAGCGCTCGGGGTTAAGAACCGACAAGGGGGCCTTGAGGGGCGTAAGTTGCACGGGGAAGCGCAAAAGAGTCTGGCCATTTTATGGGCTGGCCGAATTTGAAAACACACCCTCATGTGGGGAACGGGGTGAGGTCATTTCGTGGGGTGCTCACGGGATGTTTTTCAAGTCGTTTGTCATGCTTGTTGATCGGCAAGGATATCGCAAAAGGCCGTTGTGCTCCCTCCCAATCAATACCCTTTTGGTGCATCATCTTGGAAACACCACTGGAAACCATTAGAATCACCATTGGCACATTACCACAGGGCTCTTGCAAGCCTCCAATTTGGACAGCCCAGCCTGTGATTCCTTTTTTAGGACCACCCCCCGAAAGTCCATCGCAGACACCACGACAGGTGCGACCAGGAAGCGCGGCATCACTACAACATGGCATATCGAGAGGCAAATCCTGACATGACTTAGTCCATGACTTATTCTTCAGCTATTCCATTCAGTACTCGACGTCCACCACAAAATTGAAAGCTGAAATACAATGTGGCGGGTCTTTAATTCAATCGTACGGACGTTTGGCTTGTCATGTGCCTTATGACTTTCAGGTTGAATCACGCATAGTTGATTTGATGGCTTGCAAGTAGCACGGTGACCAGTCATGTGGCTTTGGCACCTCACGGCGCCAGAGCAATTTCACTGAGAGTTCGTGAGCCCAGCCACGATGATTGCCTTCGGTGTCTGAGTCAGCGGTCCACAACTGTGGATTCACTGTGGCTGGCCGAAATCCTGCGCCAGTTGCTCGATGTTTTATCCCCACTATTCATAGGGTGTTATAAGTCCATTTTTTCGTGGAAACCCCGACGTCGCCCTGGCTCCAGCATGTAAAAATGGGTTTCGGCAAGCCTTTGGATTGCCGTGGACACGTCAAGTTCTCCGGGGCAAAGGCTGACGGAAAGCGCTGCAGGTCAAGTACACCGTGGATTCCTCCAGCGAGCCCGCGCGGAGCCGAGCCTTGAAGATGCAGCTTGGGTCGGATTGCTTTTGGACACGCTGGCGGGCTTCCCGATTTGTTTTTCAGGAACCACCCTTTGTCCTTTTTTTGTTTGGGCGCCCCAGCCGAAATGGTCAACCCTAAAGAGCCAAATCAGACTGCAAGGTGATGCTTTCTCCCAACTTCAATGTTTTCAGGCTTTGGCCCCAATCTGCTTCAGCCCAGACAGGCAAATTGTACTCAACAGACGTTGCGCACCTTCAAGGTGGACAGCGCCCTGTGATGTCTCATGTTTACGTCCTGCAGTCGATTGCTTCCGACAAAGTCACTTGAGCTCACTGTGTTGTTGGCAATCTACTGTTGGTGTTGTGCGGAGATGGGGGGACAATCCCACAAATCAGAGGGATGAGCAAGAGAGAGAGAGAGAGAGAGAGAGAGAGAGAGAGAGAGAGAGAGAGAGAGAGAGAGAGAGAGAGAGAGAGAGAGAGAGAGAGAGAGAGAGAGAGAGAGAGAGAGGGAGAGGGAGAGAGAGAGAGAAACCAATTTCCCATGTCCCCTTTGGGGACTCACACCTCTTTGGGAATAGCATGGTGGTCGCAAGAACAATGGTTGGACTTTTTGCAGGGGTCCAATCCGGCCAAGTTGTCGGGTCACGCACTGCGCGAGGTCAAACTGCACCTGAGCTTCCCCAGCTACATGAGCGCAGAGCAGTGGCGCAAGGACCCGTTCGGGGGCTGACCCAGGCAAGTGGGTGACTTCCTCCTTGCTCTCAGTTGTCCAAAGAGAATCGACCTTTCGGTTTTCCTGTTTTGGTCCACTTGTAGTCACCCAAAAAGGCTAACTGTCAATGATGTCCTAGGTCCTTTGAACAACTGATCGCTTCTTTCCCTTTGAATTCAAAAGCTGCCGATTCCAATGAAAGTCCTCCACTTAGAGCTTTCCCGATTTCCAGGTAGATCTTCAGCACACATGCACAGGAGCCGATACGTACACGTGCATGCTACATAAACAGGCAGACGGACGGACAGACAGACAGACACCCAGACACCCAGACACCCAGACACCCAGACTCAGACGCACATGCATGCATACGTACATACATACCAGTTTTTGCATTGGCAATTGAATTGCGTGCCTTTGTTCACAGAGACGCGTTCTTTTCAATATGCACGCGTTCAACAATATGATATATTAGTTTTCAAGGATTAAACACGCACGTATGCAGATAAGATAGTACTTAAGTTATGATTTTGGCTAGATGTGCACAGAGCCTCGACAATTTTGGAGGCTTGGGTCCCAAATTCAAGTTCCAAAGCAGAGGGGCCAAAGCTCGGCAGTTCTCAGAGTATTTGCTTCGCGCCGCGTCATGGGAACAACGTGGTGTCGTTTGCATTCCAAGCTGAGGGAGCCAACACGAGGAATTGGTCTAAACATTCCGAGTCAGCGCTACGCCATGGTGGGTCGGGATGGTTTACTCGGTTAAGTGGGAATTTATGGCCCGCCAACCCGTGTTGAGGTTCCTGATTAAAATGATTTCTTTTTTCTGCGACATGAATAGCGCAGAGTGCCTACTCCGTGGCGTGACTGAGCCTTGTGGGAACACTTCAGTGACATCCTCCAATCCCTTTTTGTTTGACGTTTACTGGGGTCTCAGACATTATAAGTTTTGACTTATGAGAGACTTATGAGACATCATCTGGGTATGGGTCAAAATTAGGTCACCAGAGGACCGCAGATTGCAGTCCGGGTTTCCATTTACCAGGGCAAGTCGTGTTGAACATATGTTCTGCGTACCCGGAGGGCCAAGACTGGCTGCTTCACCCAAGAAGAAAGGCGCGACTCGCAGGAGCTGCGAAACATTCGCGCCACCCTCTGAGGCTCCATGGGTTTCGGCAGCAAGGGCGGGGGGGGGGGGGAATTGAGGTGGTGGGAGGTCTTGAGAGGGCGGCCTTTGGCATCAGAAAGCGGTTGGCATACTTTAGGGTTGAGACCTGAAACAAGATCTGGGGTGTTCAAGTGGGGACATGAGGACGCCTGTTTGGAGGGCTCGGGCCACATGTCTGTGAGCTTGACAGCCCAGGTGTTGGCCAAAAAGATCGTTTCATTCAGTTGAATGAAGGCCCATAGCCGGTCGAGCCCGGAATATTCCGAAGGCGCCAACATTGACACAACATCCCAAGCTCTTTTCGTAATATCTGGGAGCTCTTCGGCATATGAGCCCGGAGGGACGGGCTTCGGGCCCAATCGGGCGGAGGCCGTTTCTGATGGCCCCCACAAGCATCCTAACGGGCGACGGGCCTGGTTTTGACCCGCCCGAAAGAGGAATCCATGGATTTGGGCTCATGACTGGAAGGGACCAAAGAGAAATGGTTCCCACTGTGCGTGGACGAAGTCTGAAACCGTTGTTTGTTGATATGTTTCCGTGGAATCATTATTCCGGGGTTTCTTAGGTGCGTCGATCCACAGGAATCTTGGGCCCTCATTCAAAGGCCGTTTTAAGGTCCAACACCTTGTAAGGGGCTCCATTGTGCCGTGCTTGACATACACACCTTTGTTTGGTGTGCGTGTGTTCTTTTTTCATTCCGGTACTCACTTTTAGCTTGGTTTCAAGCGACAAAAAGAAATCCTTTATGTTTAAGGTCCCTTTGACACATACCCTTCTGTGTCGCATGGAGTGTTTCTTCACTGGTCACTCTCGCGAAACGCGCATCCTGCTCAGGTGCAGTCTGAGTCTCCCGAAATGAGGTGCTCAGGACTAATCCGTTTGGCGCGCAAGGGCTCCTAGAGTGTCCGGTGAGGCTTAACCAGCCTTTTTCTCGGCAATGTGGATGCATCTTAGCTGCCGTGGTGGTTTCCAACGCTGGTTTCGGCTGGCACCAACAATGACGCCAGTCGGGCCTCGAAGAAAGAAAGGGCGATATGGGTGTGTCCCAGAATCTGGGACCCCTCCGGGCTCCCAACTTTGCGCCCAGTAGAATGTCAGTTAAGAAGCGGCAAATTTGTGAGACACACCCGTGGTTAATTGATTTTCCGGAGACCTTTTTCGCGGTGTGTCGCGTTGCAAGTCTCAAGCTGACAATATGCCATGTCGCTTGCAGCTTGCTGTGAGGCAGGTTGACGTGCGATTTCCAGAGCTTGCCGCGGGATTGACACAAAAAAAACAAGCGTGAAGACCTTGTCACCCAAGTTTCTACTTGCTTCAGGTACTCCTCTCAAAAACAAACAAAGAACTTGCGCAGGGGTTCCTGAAAGACAAAATGTCCTTCGAAGGCGGCTTCTGGTTGCATGTGGTTGGGGCACCATTGCCAGTTCCTGGTGCAGCTCAGGGCATTCCCAGTCGCTCGATGGAATCCTTCAATAGGCAATGCTTTCTCCGGTTCGAAATGGCTGGAAGGGGCTAACTTACCGGTCCTAGCCCCCTTAGGTTCTGGCTCTAGTTTGAGCAAGTCGACACTTGGGGTAGTTGCTCATCATGTTTCTTTTTTGAGGGTTTACCAACCCTGTTTTCAGGTCCAGTCGAAATTTCCAGTGCATTGTGGGGCATGGGGTTGTCGCAGAATAGGGAGACCCCCAAGCTGGTATCGTTTTCCTTTGGTTTCCCTTTAAGCCAACCCCGAAAGTTGCCCTCAAAAAAGACACACCCACATGGGAGACTCAGTAAATACCCAATGAACATATAAAGCAAAGCGGTGGAATCATCCAATTGCCAATTGCCAAAATCTTCTCGGGCAAAACTGCAGGCTTTGCAATAGCCTATGGTGTCTAGAAGCCTTGAGGGCCTGCCATGTTCAGCGAAAAGAAGACTGAAATCCTGGCGTGACACCCAGGTCCCGCATAGAGGGCGTGCCCAAATGGAGATTTTCCCGATCCGGGAATGGGTGTGTTTGTTTTTGGCCGTCAAAGCGAGGGTCTCCTCTTCCCTCAATCCCGCTGCGTGCCCGGCCCTTGCAGCTGAGGCTGCAGACAAAAATCTTAGAGGCTGCACCCTCGTGCAGAATCCGGTCGTGAATGGTCGCTTGCAACCAAGCCATTTCGGATGCGTCAGGGACATGGGGCTACTTGGCGATTGTTCGAGGGCAGAAGTGTGAGCGAACTTGTGTTATCATGTGACCCCCATCTTCCCTTGAAGGGTGTTGTGGCTGTTGTTTCTGGTTGGCAGGGCGTTGCGTAGAAATGATGGGCGGCAGCCAGCATTGAATCTCAGTGGCGTCGGCATGTCCCCGTCTTTGTCCACCAATTTGCTAGATCGTTCCGGTTTGCAGGGGGGGGGGGTCATAGACCGATTTGGATCTGCCGTTGGCTCTCGGTTCGCATTGGCCCTGCAATGTTGAGACAAACCCATATGGGGGGGGGGGGTGTCTCAAAAAGGCGGATTTTCCATTGGATAACTTCGAAATGGAGCCAAAGGGAAATGCACCATTTGAGGGGATCCTGCATGTGGAGACACCCTGATGCATTCCCATGATAGCTATGGAAGTCCGGGCTGCAGCTGCCCATTGCAGGTCGGTGCTTCCCTGCTGCCGGCAAGACTTCCATCCCTGACGAAACCGAATGCGGCTTGCAGTGAAATGGTGGCAGGAAGCCACCAATACGAACTTACGCATTTCACAGTGCTTGAAAGCGTGAGTCCACTTCAAACTACTTGGTGCGACCGGCACCACGTATTCATTCGATGTCTTCCCTTGAAGTGAGAGCTATGTGCTGCCTCAGATTGAAAATGATCGCGCGCGACTGGTAGCCCTTCCCGGCATAGTCTCTCGGAAGGTGTGTGATTTGTGTCATCAAATAAGCGACAATTGCATCTATCTATCTGTGTGGGTGATTTGTTTTGGGTTTACTGACTCGGTTATCGCTTCTTTTGGATATGTATTGAGTGTCTGCGAAACAGGAAGCGTCAAGACAGTGTTGTTACACTCATCCCTTTCACTCCAAGTTTTGTCAATCGACTCGGGGTCTGCTTTGACGAACCGCTGTGCTGGTTGCTACTGGTACATTTATTGTGTTCGTTCTTCTGCAATGATGACGCGTCAATTGACGCGGTTGCCAAATCATGAGCTTTTGACCTTTCGGCTGCCCACAGTTAATCCCGACAAGGTGGATCCTCGCGAAGTTTCTTATGGAGACTCGCAAACTTTGCCATGTCGATTGCGGGTAAGGGAGTAGTTTCACAATTGATCGCATGCAAGCATATCCATTCTTCCGGCGTGTGCTATTTGCACGCGCAACATTGGCATAGTGTCTTGTGCCGTTTGGCGGTTCTACCGGTCTGCCGACCATTTTTTTGGACTGGTACCCAACGCCAAGCCATTGAGCTTTTGACATGTTGTTCTTGCTGGGCAGCAATTGTTGCTCCCCAACTTGCACCACTCAGGATTGTTTACGAAGAGCCATTTGTTGAAGGACGTTTTTTGGTTTATGTATTTTATTTATTTGCCTTTTGGTGGCTTGGTTCAGTTTCGGCGTATTCGTGGCTTTTTGCTGGCTTTCGCCTGAACCGATGCTACATCAAGCCTACGCAAATCGACCCACCTAAGTTATCCTACGTAAGCAAACCGGCCACCCACACTAACTCCATTGCTAACCCATTCGCAGACAGCCTCGCTAAACCAACCTGAAGACAGCCCTAAACAAACCTCGAATCAACCCGCCATTGCACTCAAAACCAGGGCTAAATCCGTTCCAAGCAAAGCCTTTGCATGTTCACTCTCAACCCGCCCCAGGCCAACACTGTGACCCCATCCAACCAGACTGCATGCTCGGCCCTGGGGGAAAAAAAACGCACACAGACAACACACCAAAAAGCTTTCAACCTGAGCTGGCGGCGCCGCTGGCGGCATCGCTGGCGGCATCGCTTCGGGCGATTCCGGTACACCGAGCGTGTTTGACTTGGAAGTCCCGGCCGACTGTTTGGCTCCAGCCTTCGGCCTCCGCGGGCGGTTTTCTTTTTTTGGTTTTGAGAGGCTCATGAGGGAGCAACAGGCAACCCCAAGCTCCACTTCAAGCCAATTTCATTTGATTCTTAATCCAGGGTGTGTTCAAGCAGCAAAATGCGAGAGATGGCTAATGTTCTTTTGCCACAGCAGTTGCGCACCGAAGCTTGGGTAAGGCTTTTTGAGTCTCAGGAGATTCTGAGTGGGAGGGCTTGACACAAAAGCGCTCGTTGCCACAGATGTCCCTTTTGGTGGATGTTGAACACCTCTTGGGCCCGTATGGAGTTCCCTTTGGCAAGGGTAATGCTTGCGGAGTGAAAGGGGACCATAAAGGCAATCCTGGTTTCTCCAGATGCTCTCCGTTGCCAGATGCTCTCCGTTGCCTTGAGCGGTTGAGTCTTGAAAAAAGATGTCCCAATCCGACTGAAGAGGCATCGCAACAAGATGATGGGCTCAGAAGTGCTTGGACCCCAGTTGTCCAGTGGCATCATGCCTCCTTCTCGTGGCGGGGGGGGGGGGGTCCCAAAAAGAATGGTGTCAACCCCCCAAAGTGGTATCAAAGCCCCTTGTGCTCCCCTGGTGGCAACTAGCAGTGGTTGCAACTAGCAGTGCTGCAGTTGCAACTAGCAGTGCAGAGCACTAGAACAGCCGGCCATGAGCAGCATTTATCAGGCGGGAAGAAGTGGCAATGCGGTCCATTGGCCGAATCGCTCCGTAAGGATCTGGTGGAAACAACACAATGGCCTTTCCGTTTAACCTGAGGTTAGACCATTCTGCGAGGGGAAGAGCAACACAATTTTGACTCAGTTTGATTTTAAACAATCCCACTTATGCAAAAACTAAGCCTTGATCCTTGTGTCCCTTTTGGTGTCCAGCTTGCCACGGTAGGTTAATCTGGACGTGTCATTGTTAAGGGTAGCTATGTGGGTCGTAATCCTGGAGCTTCGCGATCACCAGGTGCGCTGGTTGGCTGCAGCGTTTGCTCACCCAAGCTCCCTCCCACTCAGAACCCTTCCCACCCTTCCCACACCCTGCTCACCCCCACCCACCCATGCCCCGACCCACCCCACCCACCTATCCTAGCGTGCACCTGTGCGCGTGCGCGTGCGCGCGTGCGTGCGCGCGTGCGCGCGTCCACGTCTACTGCGACGACGACGGGAGGTGCTGGTTGCGAAATATCTTCGGCGTGGATGGAGACGCCTGGGTCTCGGAGAAATTGTGAATTGCAGAATCTGCGACTACACATCGTGCAGCGGACACTCAGAATAGACTAGATTCCTCCGTTCTCTACAAAAATCCTGCCAAGAAACTGTCCCACACCAGACGGAGCAAATGCCGAAGTGTGGGGATTTTCAAGAGGGCATGTTGGGGGAAGGGGGTCATTGAAGTTATTTCTCACACATCAAAAGCTTCGTGTTTGCCTAAAGGCATTGGGGTTACACCACACGCAGGCAACCTGAAGCATCTTGACCCCGCATTGATAAACCCATGCAATCAATAGGAGGGTGTTCCGCTCACGTGATACTGTGGATGGACGAAATTCTGCACCTGTCGGCATTTGCAGGGGGAATCATCATTCCAGGGTCTCTTCGGTGCTGGATTTTGTCCATCCACAGTAAGTCCTCACTAAAAGAGGATACCTCCCAATCAAAAAAGATCAACCAGGGGGGGAGGGGCTTACTGGGTAACCTCCACCAAACCACGGCAACCTGAAGTGATAAAATCCCGAAGGGGACACCCTATCAATCAAACACCAGAATCCCCCCGTAAAGCGCCTAATCCACCAGGATCTCCAAAGAGGACACCAGACAGAAATCCAAATCCACAAGAATCCAAGAATCAACGAGTAAAATAAGGGGACACCAAATATTCATCAAAAAAATCCAAGCCCTCCGGGAATTCCCCCAGCCTTTAAAAGGGGACACCCAAAGTCTGCATCAAAATCCACCGAACCCTTCTGAATTTTTCCCAGCAATCCCCTTCGGCGTCCGGGATTCGTCTCGGACCTGGGAGGCCGTGGCAACAGACCTCCGTGGCAACCGGCCCAGCCGCGGGAACCCCATCGTCCAGCCTTCGCCTCGGGCAAGCGGAGAGAGAAGCTTCTGTGAGATCCTACGGGACTTTGTAGACTTCCCCGACATGAACGCAGGGGGATTGGCCCGCCCGAGGAGCGAAGCCTCAAATGTTGGCAACCCTCGACCAGCGGCAGCAGACTCATGTAGATTCCTGGCTCTTAAGAGTCGAGGAAGGGGAACTTGAGTTGGAATCTTCCAAAGAAGTCGGGTGCTCTGGGTTGATGAGTCGGGATCTTCCAAAAACTCGACCCAACAAAGATGTCCTTTGCGATCTTCCAAAAATCAAGTCGACCCCCGGTTGCTTCTGGGGTCCATTGAGGTGGAATCTTCCAACAAAAAATTGTCCGTTGCTTCGATCCTATGAGTTCTGGAGCCTGGTAGCGGGGGCCATTGCTGCAAACGCGCTCTGGGATCCTATGAGTTGAGTTGGGATTCGTTTCAATGGAAGCCACCAGTGAGTGAAGCAACTGTTTCGGGAAATCCAGTCACCCCTGGCTGTCCATGTCTTTGTGGTCTTCGTCGGGTTGCTCAACAGGTCACTCTTTTTTTTTGGGGGGGGGGGGATGGACCACACAGTCCTTACCCAACGAACCAGCCAGTCGCAACCCAAATGTAAGTTGGGTTGTACACCTCGGGGTTTGCTCCCAATCCTAGAACATCCCCGAAACATGGTGGAGGTATATTGCCCATGGCCAGGAGTCTGAGTAGTGGACGTTCAGCGGGTTTGAATGCTGAGGAATGATCGCAGTTTCCGAGATGATGGAAACATCAATGCAGACATCGAGAGGCGGCGAGAGAGTTCGGGCCAAACTGCCTTTGGCCCACCTCCGGCCAACCACAAAGGACCTTTGAACTTGTCCCACGTCGATCGGTTTTTCCCCAGCTGAAAGCTGTGGAGTCGATACGGCCAGATAGGCTCAGGGCAGCTTTCAGAGGAAGTCCGGGGCTGTTGCGGAGACCACCTGGCCTCGTTTGCTTCTTTTGGCACCCAATTTGCTGCATTTCCCCCCCCCGTTTGCTGCCTTTTTTTGTGTGTTTGAATCAAGGCCCGGACCTTCATGGAAATGTGTCTTTTTTAAAGTGGGTTTGAGTACCTTAGAACAAAAATAGGTGCTCGAAATCAAGCAGCTGGGGCAAACCGCAGGTTTTCGGCTTTGTTCCCATGCCGCCGTTCGGGGGGTCCAGCTTGGAGCAGCCAGATGCTGCCTTTCGGTCGGTAGCTTGAGAACGCGATACCTCTGATTGGTTTGCGTTCTTTGGCTCGGTGGGGAATTTGAACCGGCACAGGTGTCCTTTTGATCGGTGAGCCTGGTAAAAAATCGATGGGTCCCACTGGTTTAGATGTATTTTTTGTCCCATTTACCCGGGAAATCCATCTATTTGTCCAAAAGGCCACCCTATGACCCCTGGTTCTTTTGGAGGGCTCATGGGAAAGCACCCGAAACACAACACCAAAAGTGGGAAGCACGAAGCAGATGTTTCACTTACCTGGGCCCTTCCAGCACCCCAGGCCAGAATACCGGCAGGCCTTCGCTGTTGGTCAGTCCTTCACTTTGTTCCACACCTTTGTTTTAGCCCAACGAGAGGTTTCCCCATACATTTGCTTTTTGCGCACAAGGAGATGCAGGTGTACACAAGTGTGTGTGTGTGTGTGTCTGTGCTCTATGTTTTTCCTTTTCCCCAGAGGACTTCTCGCACCTCGTTTTGAAAGGAGACTAAACCAACTGGAAGTGACTATTTTGGTGGGCCAAGATGCAAGGTCTTCCCAACGTTGACCCCGCGCAGGAATTTCAACAGGGCATTGGCAAAGCACTCACCAAAAATATATGATTTCTTTCGGAATATCATGTACGTAGCTGGTTTCTGCGCAGGAAAAATCTCTCGGGGTGGGACATGGTGGGACAAGTTTGGGCCTTGATCAAGGTGATGAACCAAGAAAGGACGGACAAAACCTAGGTTTAGGGTTCTTAGCTGCTGTTTGGTTGTATCTTTCAACTTTGACTTCTTGGGCAAATGATGACTTCTCCCACTTAGCGGCAAAAAGTAAAGCTTGCTCACAGAAAGGAGGCGCCATGGGTTGAACGTTGACTATCCCTGTGGGCCCACGTGCCTGCATCCGTTTTTTGACCAAGGGGTAAAAGGAACGGGGCTGGGTTTCTTTTAGGGCCTTCCCTCCAACCCACGGTGTTCTGAACTCGTTTGTGGCTTCCCTGACCCCCAGCCCTCGCCAATCCGAACTCCAGGCAGCGGAAGGCGGACGCTTTGATCCGGAAGCAGCAGCGCATGGAGGAGGGCGGCAGGGCAGGCAGGATTGCGTCGGAAGTCCCAGGTTTTTGCTGGGAGAAAGGCTTCATAACCAAATTGGGATCAAGCAAATTGGCGACTTGTACCAGAGGTCCCTGCTTCAGCTGTTGATGGAGGTTGGGGAGATTGGGGGATATTGTTCGTTGCGGGTGGAGGCAGGGAATGAGCTATCTGCGAATCTTCACCCAGGACTAGCACGTCCTGCTAGCCCTAAAGATGTTGACAAACTTGAGGTGCAGGGATTGAGATAGAATAATGGGAGCATGTTGCCAGCTGCAAGTTGATCAAGACAAAGTCCATGTTATTTGCGTGTTGCCTGTACAAATAGGATTGTGTGATGAACAACCTGAATACCCACGCGGGAGCAACCATGCGAGACATACATTAATATATATATATATATATATGTATATATATATATATTACATAGATATGCAATCTATGCTGCAGATACCAGTTTTGTACTTGCTAAGGCCTATCATTATCCTGCTGTGTTGCGAATGCGCCTCTGCACATTTGCCATGTAAGGCGGCTACAACGAGCGCCAGGAGATAGCGACGCAGAACAAGAAAGCTGCAGAGGCCTTGCTTTGGGTGCAGAAAGCTGAAGATGAGGTATGTGGTTTGGGCGAATTGAAGCGAGCTCTGCCGAGGAATCGAACTTCCTTGAAAGGTCTCTAACTTCAGGTTTGTGAATTGCAGCATGCAGTTTCTCCGGCGGAGTGGTTTGCAGCCGGAAATCCCAAATGAGGATTCAATGCCTTTATTTCTGAGCAGTCCGTTTGTAGCGTCGTAGGATTGTGATTTGTGTTGTTTTGCCCGCTGCCTTTGAAAGCCGCCCTGGTTGCCCGTTGTTCACTTGAGGGGGTGCTGTTTTGCGTGATCATTTGTTTAGAGGAAGCCCGAAAGAAACCAGGCAATGCGGTTCCCCTCTAAGCGTGCCATGCGTGTGGGATTTTCCATCCTAGGGAGTGCCCGTGTTAGGCAACACCCAGGTCTACCGACCACTCGACCACTCTTTTGAGAAGCTATGGCGACTTGCCATTCGGTGACGTGCGTCAAATTCGCCTTGGGTCGGACCCCGCGCAGGGCGACCAAAGTGAGCATCCCATTAGCAAATGCGGCGCCTGAAATTGGGAGGGGTGAGACAAACTCATGGGTGGCAGCCAGCCTGCCGGATTCCGCGAAAGGTTGGGATAGTTTCGACAAGACATTGGCCATTGAGGGCATAGCCGGAATGCTCCGAGCAATCTCAGCCCACTTCAGCCCCAAAGTGGATTCTCTTCCTGTGCACTTAGGTTTCTATGCCGTCTCCGGGCAAGGGGGGGTTTGGGCTTTCGGGCACCTCACCCACTCGTGACCCAAGGCCCAAGGCCGCATTCGGATCCGGAGTCTCCGGCCGATCGGGTCTGCGGCTCGGAGAGGCCGCCGACGGCTACGATGACTTCGGGCGGCGGATTGCGCAGCGGGACGGCGACAAGAAGACCCGGGCGCAGGTGCCAGTCGGAAGGGCTTGGCTGGCATGAATTTACTTGGCTCCCAGCCATCCCCTTAGCTTTTTAGCCTGTTAAGTGTGCAGTAGAAGTTAAACTTTTAGCGGGCGATTTGAGGGCAGCCCAGTTTAAATAGTGAACCCCCTGGAAAGTGGCTGGTGGACATGACTCCCCGCCTAAATGATGTCCACCAGAGGGTCCTAAACTAAAATTCATGCCCTGCTGTTTGGGTGTGCGATTTGGGAAACGGTCCGTTCTACAGCAAGCTACACTTTCTGCGGGAGGCGCTAGCCATCGAGAAAGATCTCGGGTTTTAAGGTGGATCCCCTTTGACAGGGCTCGAGAGATTTCCGTGCTTGGTTTAGACATCGCCTCTTGGGTCAAGTCTAAAGGACTTTGCTTTTGGCGGGGTCATGTCTAAAAGGGGAAATATATGGACCCCTGCAGTGATGATTGTGGAAACATCCCCCACGCAACCCATGCACTACTTACCCGCATTTACCCTCCGAATGTGCCAAAAGTTGGTAAATATATTCCCTCGGAGGGGAGGGGGGGGGGGGGGAGGGGGATGTGAAGAGTACAAATCAAACTCAGGTGCCCCAAGCAAATCGACCCTTTCACCTGTTGGTTTCCTCTTTTTTGTCAGTTTTCGTGGCCCCAAAAGGTTACCTAGTATTTCCAGGTCCTTTGACCTGACCTGCTGTTTTTGTTGAGATGCCATGGGGATGGTGGCCAAAAGTCGGACAGCTCACTTGCTTGAGATGCGAGATGATGCGAGGATTGCCTCGTCAAGCCATTCAACACACCCATAAACGCCGCAGCAAAATTACACCCGCGTAAACTAGGGAGACTCATAAAGAGAGATACTAACACCCGGACCTCACTGGTTTCCCACAACAAAGCACCCTCCCTCCCACTTCCGCGGCGAGTTTCCCAGGAGTTGTCAAATCAAAGAGAAAACGGAGGTTGCAAAAGCAAAGGCGGGGTCTTGAAAGAGGTCCCAAACTCGGTGCCGCTTCTCCTGGATCAAGGCTTGGCTTCGCGTGCGTCCGAACCCCGAAACCCCGAGGCAGCCTTGGAGCGGCTCAGGAAGGGCCAGGAGGGGCTCGGAATTTCGGCTCCGAAAGAGAAGTAGCTGTCGCACTAGGTCCCCCAGCTAGGTGCCCTTTCCTAAACCCCTTTTTTGGTTGGGAGGGTTCCCCTACTAAAATAGGCTATAGCAAAAGGGGTACCCTTATTTTAACCTCTCTACTGGAGGACCTGGTAGTTGTGGTAAACCCTGGGTACATTTTACATATTGCCAACGACTCAAAGTGAAGCAACACAAAAGTTATCAGAATCACAAAATACATGTTCTATAACTGGGCCTAACTCTACTCATGATGGATTATATAGTGAGCATAAATGGGACAGAGTTTGGTAGTGGTTGGTAAGGAGCCGGACTCGGAGCTAGGTCTATCCAAGTTTGCCTAAGAGGGAGCTAATGAGCTACTAGGAGTTCATAGCTTCCATTGCTGAAATGAGTATTCATGTTTTTCCCTGGTTTTAAAGGGAACCTGTCACTATGGAAGTATGTGTGCTTCTTCCGGGGAGCTCAAGCAAATCGAAAATAGTGAGTATAAATGGGACAGCGTGTGGTGGACCAACCACGGTTATAGCCTGGCCAATCACTCGAAAGGATTCACATCCAGGGAGTCCAGATGGTCGCGGATGGCCGAGCTGTGTCCCGTGAGTTGCTGCCGAAATGGCTGTGCCCTTTTTGCCTTTTTTTCGGTACCCATGCTTTGGTGGGCAAGGGAAACCAAAAGGAGCGCCGAAATTCATTTCGGGTTCCCCCGAAGAAGACAACCCTACTAACGAGGAACTCGCTCGCATTTGCTCGCATATGAAACCAGACGGAATCCGAGTTGGATGGTGTTTGATGGAAAACTTTGCATTGGCTTGAGTGCTTTGCGTTGCCTGATCTCACATGGTTGTTGTTGGGAACCTTTTACAGTTTTGCTTATTGTGGTTTAGTGGGAAATCCCCACTTAACTGCTAGAATTTAAATGTTTGCTCCCCTTCCAACGTCAACCAAGTGATTCCAAATGTTGTTTAGGTACTGGGTTTCCCGCAACTTGTCCACGAAGGGCGCAAATGGCGAAGCGGGATCCATGGAGCTAGGTGTCCTGGCCGGGTAGTTTGGTTTGTAGCTGGGTTCTGGTTTAGATTGGTTCCATTCCATTTGGGGATTGATCAATATTCCGCTAAGCCCCAAATGGGCATGGTAAACTTTTCCCATGTTTGTAGGATTTTTGGTGGCTTCCCCTAGCGATCATCCCATGCAAAGGACCATTTGATCAACCCCCAATCAGGGCCATCGGCTTACCTATGGTTGCTTAAAGGGGCAGTGGTTAGTACGCCTGGTTATATCCTACTGAACGGAGACTTATAACCATGACAAGTGAGTTATATCCATGGTTATTCCCCACTAAGTACAATGCTCCTTTAGGGACTGCCCTGCGCGAGTTGCATTGGCTTTTCTATGGTGACATGCCACATGCAGGCACGGGAGTCTGAGCAGCCGAGTCAGCCGAGGGAAAGGCACGAACAAAAATCGACTATGCAAAAGAGAGCACGGGGGGGTTGGTTTTTTTTCAGTTGCTGGCTTGTTGGATACTATGATTGCGTCTTTGTATGTTGCGTTGCCATTGTTGTTTTGTGCATTGTTGTTCAGCAGCTTAGCTGTTTAGGTTTCATTAATTGGTAGATTTCTTTGGTTGGTTGACTGCTTGCTTGCATGGCTGGTTGCTTGGGTTGGTTGCTTGCTTGCTTGCTTGCTCGCTTGCTCGCTTGCTTGCTTGCTTGCTTGCCTTTCTGGTTGATTGGTTGATTGGTTGATTGGTTGATGTCATTGATTGGTGGGCTGTTCGATTGACTGACTGACTGGCTGAGTGCCGCTTGATTGGTTGATTCGTTGGTTGGTTGATTGGTTTGCTGATTGACTGATGCATCGCTTCATTGATTCCTTGATTCCTTGATTCATAGTTGTTTCTTAGTGTTGGTTTGATTTGATTGGTTTGTGGCTAGTTTGCTTGACTGTTTCATTGATTAGCTTATTGATCGGTTGATTGACTTGTTGGTGATTTGACAGCATGACTAGTTGACTGATTGGTTGGTCTTGCTTGCTTTCTTGCTGGCTTGGTTGGTTGCCTGATTTGGTTGGTTGGTTGATGGGTTGGTTGATTGGGTTTGGTATTGGTTCGTTGGTTGATCGATTTGTTGATTTGATTGAGTTGAGTTGAGTTGAGTTGCGTTGATTTGATTGATTGATTGATTCATTGATTGATTGATTTGGTTTGGTTTGGTTTGGTTAATTGATTGATTGTTTGATTGATTGATTGATTGATTTGGTTTGTTTGTTTGATTGGTTGGTTGATTGATTGGTTGATTGATTTGATTGATTTGATTGCTTGGTTGGTTGGTTGATTGATTGATTGATTTGATTTGATTTGATTTGTATTAAGTTGATTTGGTTGAGTGTGTGTTGGCTTGACTCATTGATTTAATTTGATTTGATTTGATTTGTTTTGTTTTGATTTTGATTTGGTTGATTGTTTGTTGGCTTGACTCATTGTGTGGATTTGATTGAATTGATCAATTGATTGGTTGGTTGATTGGATGATGTGTTTCTTATGCTATTATGTTATGTGTGCGTGGTTGTTTGCTGTTAATTCAATACACATGATTTGTTGGCTTGATTGATTGGTTGATTGATTGATTGATTGATTTGATTTGACTTGATTTCATTTCATTTCATTTCATTTGATTTGATTTGATTTGACTGATTGATTGATTGGTTGGTTGGTTGGTTGATTGATCGATTGGTTGGTTGGTTGATGCGATTGATGGATTCATGGAGTAAAAGATTGGTTGGTTAATTTGGTTGATTGGTTGGTTGGGATTGGTTGGTTGGTTGGTTGGTTGATGGATTGATTGATTGATGGATATGCCTGCCTGCTTGCCTGCCTGCCTGCTTGCCTGCCTGCCTGCTTGCCTGCCTGCTTGCCTGCCTGCTTGCCTGCTTGCTTGGCTTGGCTTGGCTTTGCTTGGCTTGGCTTGCTTGCTTGTTTGTTTGCTTGCTTCGTACTTATTGTATCGGTGTTGTGTTGTCATTTGTGGTGATTCTTCGGGTTCCAGGGCTGCCTTGCACATGGATGCATTTGGCTCTTTGACCCATAAGGCTCCTCATCACAGTTTGTGGATCGAAGACCCGAGAATTACAGGTGCCGAACTAGCTTTCAGGACTCAGAACGAGACCGCCTTACTGAACATGCCTGCCAGGGCGCTACCAACGTGTCGCCATAGGTCAGTTTGGTTGAACATGGGGGCCAAGCGGACTTCAGTTGAGTTTGATTTCTATTTGGTGGAACCCATCCAAACAGAAACATGGCCTCCTCCCAGAAACATACCGCAGCATTGAAGGCGGACCAGCCCACGGCGGGTCAGCCCACGCAAGCGAAGCCGCTCGAGGCCTGGGAGTCAAGAGGGGCAGGGAGGAATCGCGTGATGTCAGGGGCCCCGATTGAAATTCCCAGGGTTCGGCTCTTTTCAGTCTGGTACTAGCTGTTCATGTTTCCATGGGCTGCCCCTTCCTGAGGCGTAAGCATCAGCCCATGATAGTGGAGAATTTCCCCACACCCAGCCCCAAGGGCCAGCTGTGATCCTGTCGTTTGGCATCCGGTTTCAACTGCGCCATCCAGTTTCCCTGCTGAAAGCCTGCTCCGCTCCCCCTGAAAATAAGAGGACATTTGCTGAATTAGCGGGAGCTTTATCCTCATAAGCATCTTGGGCCCTCAACCTAATGGAGAAGGTCCTGCCCTATGGAGGGTTCAATGGTGCAGCCAGGAAGGCATCAAAAGGCCCACCCCACGACCACGCTTGCGGCTACTGAGGCCCATGAGTTTGCCACTCCGAGCGTCTTGTTTGTCATCTAGATAACGCTGTGGATGCGTTGTTTGTGGATGTCACCGGCTCTGCCAAGAATTCCACAGGGATGGCTTCATAGATGAGTAGAATGAATTCACTGCGATGGGGATCCAGCTGCCTGAGGTTTCAGAATTATTGTAAGAAAGGTGCAACATGTCATCAATCCTTGTTGGTTCTTGACACGCGCTCCAAGGCGCAAGCACGCAGTTTCTCAACCTTGACATTCAAAAACCAACCAGCACGCGGGTCCGAATCACTGCTTTTCGGGGTCTTGCTCTTTCCGCGGGGGCAGAGTGCCATCCGATCCCAACGCTCGTTCCGAACGTTGGGGCGATGCACAGTCTTGCTCCCTGAGTTCCTGGACTTTCAGTTCTTTTTCGGGAGAATCGTTTTTTGTCGCACAAAACCTCTTTTGTTTTGCTAAACCATCACCTGGAGCTGTTGTCTTTTTCTACCTGGACCTGATCAACTCAGGAAGCCCAGACCAGAAATCCCCTTTGGCCGTGGAGTTTCCCCTTTGGAATCCAAAGATCCAGGTCGCGACGCCGGTCCAGCTCCAGGCTGGCTGCTTTCTTCCATGGCGGACGGAAGGGAAGGGACGGAAGGTTTCAACCAACCACAAAATTGGGAGGGTCAAAAAGGTGGTTGCCGCAATGAGGACATGGCAGGGACACCAAACTTGTAAATGTGGCTCCTGTTTTTCATGGGACGCCAAACTGAGATACAACACATCGAGGTCCAGGAAGGCGTTCAAAAAACGTGCTAAGAACTCGAAGGGCCTGGCAAGCCTTGGATGGGACGCAACTTTGGCACAAGGAATGCCCATAAAACACGCTCACCCGTGGTCCGTTGCTTGGGGATTGCTTCCAGTTCAAATGAAATGCATTTGGAATCACTCACATTCCCATAAAGTGACCAGGACTGAAGTTGCGTCGTCCAGAATATGGGTAAATGCGTGTGGCGTTCTGACTCTCGGAACTCACAAGGCCTCACCAGACCTCCATGTTTGCTCCTTTGTCCTTTTTCTTGTAAATTTCCGATTAAAGTTAAGTACTAACTCACGGGCCCCCCTTTATCCCATGTGTTTGTTTGTTTTACGTTGTTTCTTCTTTTTTTTGGGGGGGGGGTCCATTTGAAATCAAGTACCCAAACAACAGAATGGCCTCAAGCTTGGGTTCGAAAGCCGTTGCCAGCACAGGTTCTGAAGTTTCAGCCCAAAAGAACTCCTTGAAGTCCCCCATGTCGCCGCTTGCGCGTCTCGAGTGCCTTCAGATCGCGGCGCCGGCGGTGAGAGGAAGGGCCTTGTCGCGGGTCTGTGGGCCGGTGGACTCTGCCAGGAAACCAGTTCGGCCATTGGAGGGATGGTTAGCTCAGTTGCCCAAAGCCCACCTTTTGACCTTTTGGCTTTCCCATTTTGATCCATTTTTTAGTAGAGGTGCCAAAAGGTTAACCTTTCAGTTCTGGGTCCTTTGGGCAACTGAGTTAAAGCCTGTAGCAAACGGGGAGCTAAGGAGCCCCAACTGGCAAAATCACTCGTCCCTTAAAGTGGTTACATGAGGGGTGCGAAACCTTTGAGGATGTCACTCTACCCGTACTTCGGGACCGAGTTCTTCTCTTGTATGGGGATGGGTTTGAACAATTTGAACCAATTTCATGGGTCAACGTTTTCGGGGTCGACCCAGCCCATGGCAATTTGCTGAGTTCCAGCTATTTCTAGCTCATGCCTCGCGCTCAGTAGAAGCCACACGCCCTTCGGATGCGAGCATTTGCGACCAGTAGGTTGCTTGGACAGCGGGTGCATTGGCGCATGCCAGTCGCCAACATCTGCCAGTGCACTTCTGAAGGAAATGTGGGCGGAATCGGGACGGTGGCGCTCGACGGAAGGTGCAAGGCGACCCTCGCTTTGGCTCTAGTGAAGACGGAGTCGGTGCAAGTGTTGCAGTATTGGGGCAATGGAAGAAGGCAGGCAATCAGACGACGGCAATGATTCCAGCAACGTCAGCAGCAGCAACAGCAACCCCGGCAACAGCAACACGAGCAACAAAAACAGCGGCGAACCAGCCGCTCTCCAAAAACAACGTTGAAGCCAGTTGAAGGGTCAGTTGCCAGATATGCAAGGGAATGCCTTGGCGGGGGTCCTCCGCTATTCCAGACTCGAGATGGTTGGAGGTGTGTTGCAGGAAACGCGTTGGATGGTCGAGGCTTCCGCGGAACATGAGCGTGTTTTTCTTTTTTTGGGGCGGGGGATGCTCTGGATAGCCACATCTTCACATGCAGATGCACACGTTATGTGCAACGATCCTTCCGCAGGCTGGGGGTTTGGGAGGCGCCCCGGAGCGGTGCTTGGAGCTTGTGACCCCAGGATTTGTGAGTTCGCTTTGAATTCGGGGCTGCGACTGTTCGAACTCCAGTGGGCTTTCAAGTCGTGGGGAATCTTGTTTTGGTGGGCCAAAAGTCTGGATTGCCCAATCCACTCAGGCCGTGAGCCTTTAAAAGGGGGGTTGCGCCCAATTTAAAATCGCCCATATGAATCCTGGGTTCCCATTCGGATGTCTTCAATTCGGCTGAGCCGGGCCTCACACTGCAGCATGCGTGCCAATAGGCCAAAAGAGCCAGCGTCGCAGACGGGAGCTGCGCGCCCCCGGAGTTGCAACAACTTACTTGCCTTGGTGTTGGAGTTCAAAATTTTGGAAAGTAGCAAACAAACAATTGTTTCCCTTCCAATCTTTTCCGGAAGCATGTCGCAAAGGCTGGAAGATAGCTCAAAGAGCTCAATCAAAAAAGTAAGGCCTTTGTTCTTGATGCAAAGCTACGAGGGTCGCAGTACGCCCTATGGATGTAGAACCTCCCCTGCAAAATTAGCTTGGGGCGCCAAAATCCGTGATTTTTCGATGCACCTCCTTTCTGGTCTAAACATGGTGGCACAACCGTGGCGTTTCGCTCAGGTAGCCTGGAAAAAGCATGGCTACCAGTCAGCCAACTCCAGTCATCTCACACGGGTATAAGTTGTGACCCACTTACAAAACTGTTGAGTTCATCCAAGGTTGCTTCCAGTGGAAACTTCGGGCCGTGGGAAGGACCGATCCCACGAGGCCCGTGAGATTTGAGAAAGGGATTCCGAAGCCTTCTGACGGGTCCCAGGTGAGCCAGCAACTGGATGATGGGGCCAAAGTGCCGGAAATAGAGGGCAACCCGGAAACCCCCGAAAACTGCCACCTGGGAGCTTGAATTGGTTTCCTCCCTTCGCTTGACGCATCTGAAGCTATCCTCATGTTTTGTGGGGTCGCCTTTGGACCCCGGGGAGGTATTCACCCATCCCAACCACATGTTTGACGCATCCACGGGCCACCTTGGGGTCTGGCATGGACCAAATCCTGGCCCTCCACTACTGGCTCCACTTTGCTGCTCACATGTGTTGATTACCAGGTTGGGATGACAGTCGGGTGGAAAAACCCGAGGAAAAAAGAAAGGATATGTCAGCCACATGGGGAGAAGTTACCTACAGTAATTTGGGGGGCCGAACGGAATATTGATTGACCCGCCATGACTTCAGGGTTTGTAAGAAGATGTGTGGCGTCTCCGCCCGCAGTGCCCATTTTGCCCATGTTGCCATTGCTGACTGTCTGGCTCGACAGGTCTTAGGGAAAAGTTGACCCAGCCCATGGAGGAAGCCAAGTCTAAGCTCAGGCGAGACGGCACTTTGCCAAGTCCCCCCCCTCGCCAGCCACTTCAGCCGGGGATTCGCAAACCTCAAAGCTCATTCTCCAGAGTGTTCTTCTGGTTCAGAAAGCCGGTGGAGAAGACGCCGTATCCACATCAGTCACAGCGTGCGAGGCGTTAGACTTAAACCCGGCGTCGCCTTGTCCAATGGCCATTGGCGAAGTGGAAATCACCGACTTCTTCAGTGAGGAGCTCCTGACAAGGCTGAGGCGGGACTTGGTTTCCGAAAGCTCCGGATGGGATCCGCGAAGATCTCTTGGAGCTTTGGGGTCTGCGTTTTGGGCGAATGGGAGGGGGGGGGGGGAACTCTCAATGGCTAGACGGTGGTAGCCAAAACAAGCCCGTACCACAAGAAATACACGAAATAAGATGGCCAACCTACACGAAAATGATCAAATTTATGTAAAATTGACACATGGAAATTGGCGAAGTGTTTCGGAAAATACCTAAACATCTGGCCAAACATCTGTTTTGCGGAGGGGCCGGGCCCATTCCCCCCCGTACATGGCGACTCAAATTCAGTCCATAGGTTCGAATCGGAGTTTCGTTCTGGGTAGCTGCCGAGGCTACATTTGTGTTCCCATTTGTTGAGCAGGCAGTGGCACCCAACCTGTTCATTGTTCGGGCACCTTGAAAAGGGCAATGTTTCAATACCAAAGCGCGGTTTTGTAGAGCAGCCCAGAAAGCTCGGCAAAAGGACCAGAAGCGATTCTTTGGGGTTCAAGGCTCTAGGGTCCCAGGGATCGATTCGCGGAAATCGATTCGCGGAACTCGGGGGAAGTCGAGCCGCTTCGCTTCGCCAGGAAGGCCTTCGAAGAGTTCGACACCTCCGGCGACGGCCTCATCGGCAAAGACGAGCTCGTGGAGCTCTTTGCGAAGCTGGGGAGCCTCGAAGCGAGCGCCAGCTCCGAGGTCGAGTCGTTTGCACCAAGCAACTCCCAAACATCGGTGTCCTTTTTAGGTGAGCCTGGTTTAAAATAGAGTTCCACTGGTTTAGATGGGTCTTGTTCCATTTACCAGGGCCATCGATTTTTCCAAAAGGCCACCTATGATCCCAAAGCGAACGGATTTTGGAACCTTTTGGTTTGCCCGCTGCCCAATGGTGTCCACTTTTAGTCTTGACATGTTGGTGTTTGGGTTTGGGGAGGGTTTTCTTACAGTTTGGTTACGGTTGGTTTGCGCGGCTTATCCTGGTTTTGCACTCCATTCGATTCCATATCTGAGTTTTTCAAACTCACTCCTTAATGCTTGTGGTAGATGGCAGTGGTCCCTTGTTGCGATGTCATTTTTGGCACGGATTACGATGGATTGGGAATCCCCTCCCCATCCCAGCCTCGGCATCTTCTAAGCACTAGCGATTGGTACCGCAATTGCTTTTATTTGGTGGATTCCGACACAAATAATAAATACCGGTAGACAAGCAAGCAAATAAGCAGATGCGTTTTGCTCAAGGGATGCTGGAGGTATGATAACCTCATGACCCCAAAAGGTGAACCTGCTTCTTCGCCAGGTCCTTTGACCAAGGGCGTTTGAGGGAACCCTGAAAGAAGCGGTTTCCCTTTGCCTCTTGAAGCCCCCCCTTCTGGCCACGTGTGGGTTCTCAAAAGCCCAGTTGCCCAGTGCCCGGTTTTCCCTTTTTGGGAATCCCCTTTAAAGTCAACCCACCAAAAACAAGGATGCCCCTTTTTCCATTTTCTTTGGCCCTACCAATCCCAGGCTCCGAATCTGAGAAGCACCTTGCCAGAGCCAAAGTCGACATCCCCGGAGTGGCTCTTGACATCTTTAAATACCGACTTGTTTAGTAAAGGGTTGACATCGCGAACGCAGGGCAGAGGAGCAAGCACAGACAGGGTCCCAATCACCTGAGGTGTTGTGTTTTACATTTTTGGAGGACCTATCATAACGCGCACACACGCACACAGACTCGTTGATTTGTTCGGGCACCTGTGGCTTTCCTTCCTCTCAAAGTGCAGAACCCCCCTCAAAGGGGGGCTTTGAACTTCCAGGCTCTCGCTTGGTCCAAGGAAGCGGCTCACCAAGAAGCAGGCAGACATCATCGTCAGAGAGGCGCTGCTTCGCTTCGCCGCAAGCGCGCGCCATTTTGTTGGTGTCCCAAGACGAAAAGAGGTCAGGTCTTGAGACTGGTTAGCCCCCCTGAGTCGAAACGGAGATGAGCTTCCCTTTCAGTTCCCAGCCACAAATGGTTTTTTGGGGAAAAACCCGAAGACTCACGTTTCTTGGTTTGTTGGTGGGTGGGAGGGGGACCATGCTTCCCGCAAAACCAGGGCCAACCTAGAACAACACGTTTTTCACGGGCACTGGTCAAAATGCACATTTAAGCTTTTAATGGATTTGCGGTTTCCTTTCTCTTGGTTTCCCTCGGCGACTTTCTTTGGGTACGCCTAAAACGAGAACTGCATCATTTCCCATTGCCGAAAATGAATCCATGGGGAAAGCCGGACTCTCTCGACTCTGGCGCTAAATCCTCCTTGGGCCTACCTGGCCTTGCTGAAGGGGTCGGCCGTGGGCTTCACCCATCGGAAAGAACAGCCCTCAGGACTCCAGCCATGGTGCAACATCCACCTGTGCAATAGCTTGACTGAGGTTTGCGTGTTTGAAAATTACAACGTTTTGTTTTTTCAGGACGTCTGGCGGAATCCACTGTACCCTTCAATGTGAGCAAGTTGACCTTGCGCAGCTCCATTGCTGAAGACTGTTCTTCAGCCAGGAGTCGAGAAAAGTGCCGGAAGGACGTCACTGCATCAACGCTTGCACCTTTTATACCTTCGTTTGTTAGCAAAATGATTGAGGTTGACCAGTTATCCAGCGCTGCTCCTGTTGGCAAGGGGGAGGGCAGTAAATCAATAGACTTTTGGAGAAAACCCAGCCATGTTGTTCTGGCTCCCCACTTAGCCTTATTGAACGGTCATGTGACCAGCAATCCATGGGGTTCACATGGGTTGGACCGATGCATTTGGCTTGCCGATGGTTTCGTGATCTTGGGGCAAGCTGTGGCTTTTCCCTTTAACCTGCCACTTGGGGGGTGTGGAATTGAAAGTGTGAAATGGGGCCAGTTTGAGACCGTACATTTTTCGCTGATTAAAATGATGGTCAATGAGGTTGCAGTCCTATGGATGAACGTTGATCCAGGTTCCTTTCTTGGGGGCTGCCAGGGCGCGAATTGAACCATCACATTGCCCTGTTTGTTTCCAATGGGCATGGAGGGGATAAGCCTGCGGTGCGAAGTGCAGTCACGCTCAACGGCGGCGTAGCTTCAAAATCAGCCACCAGAAGGATGCCCGTGTTACCACACATCCACTGAGCATTCGAGGAATGGAGAGGTGTTGGTTGAATTGCGATGTGACAATGGCACAGGTAGACTCCGACTGCAATGGCGAGATTGATTTTGAAGAGTTGTGCTACCTGGAGATTGCCATGTCTGGTGTGTGCCGGCAGCATCTCGAGATATCGCCCAAGCCGATGGGATTAGCTACAGTTTTGTTCTGGCGAACGGGAACCCCGGATTCGCAAACCCATCCTATTAATAGGGGTGTCACCCACCAAAGTGAAGGATTCCCATGAAAACCATGAAAAGGGGGCACCCATGTTGCAGGCTGCCTAGTTGCATTAGTTGACGGCTTTATGCAGGTTTGGGCTAGGTGGGAGCTCAGCCCCCTTGACACCCATGGATTTGCGCAAACTATGTCAAGCTCACCTGTGGTAAGACGAGCTTGCCCATGGATCTGACAATGTTCTTCCACAGGTGTTCCACGTGTGAAGTTTTGGGCCGCAACCCAAGAAACTGGGCCAGGGAAGGGTAAGAGAACTCAAAGCAGCTCGGATGCACCGAGCATTCGGATTTGCAAGGCGAAGCCGCAGGCGAACCTCATTGACTACAAGACCTTCCTCTCAGACGCCTGGCACGGTTCAGTCGCTTTGGGTTGAGTGGTCTGCTTGAGATAAGCCTTCTAGTCATTGGCGAGAAAATGCGCATTACGGCTGCAAATGAGCCAATCTTGAGAGTTCGTCCAAGCCAACACCATGGCGAAGGATTGTTCCCCATCGGGCGGGTTTAAACCTCGCGTTTTGTTAAGGCCATATTTAAGGCGAGTTGGAGTGATGCTTATAACGTGTGGAAGGAAGAGAATGACAGGGAACCCTATACCCTGCAGATTCAGCTCCCGAACAGGGGGGGGCGTTCCCCAAGTTTCAAACTCGTCTGCAAAGTTTTTTGGGGGCCATGTTAAACCGTGGAGGGGTCCCAAAGACAGTTTTTAGACACCGGGCCCAATACTAGGCTTGCGTGGATGAAAACTTTCCCAAGGACCCTGGGCCCCAATTTCTCAATCAGCTCCAATCCAACTCTCATCTTCCCTGCCCAAAACGGGTCCGGTCACAGAGCCAGGGCCGGGTGTTCGGAAGGCCAAATCAGCAGGAAATGTGCCGAAAACCAGGAAATTCTGCAGAAGGTCCAGGGTTTTTAACCAAGAACGCTGAGGCAAGCACTATAGAGGAGCTGCAGCAGTGGTTCTCCTTAAACGACATGTCGGAGGAAGGCAGCATTACGCTCGACGACGCCCAGACACTTGGCCTCATTCCCTGGGGGCCGCTCATGTCAAAGGTTTCACCACACCCGGACAGGACAATTCCAAATGAACTACTTAATGGCTATTTGGCAACAGATCTTTGGACTGTAACAAGTTTTTGGATGAAACAGATTGGTTTTTTGGGGTATTCGGCCCAGGGCCCAGAGGGCGAATCCTTGCATCAATTCGTCAGCACCAGGATGTTGCTCATATTCAACTCGGCTGATTCAGGAGGTAAAGGATCCAACTGAAACATGAATCGACCAGGGATTTTATCCACTTAACTGTTTGTTAACACATTGCTTCCAATTTCCTCTGTAGGTAGGCAAGTATGTTTATTTTTCGGTGTGACATGGTGGTTTCACCTAGTTACCTGCTACAAGCTTAGCTGCACTTTGTTTGGACCTTACACCTTCACCTGTCGGGAAAATGTGTGTTTTCCCCATACCCTCAAAAGCGAATAGCTTGTCACTGGTTGCCCACCCCAAACCCGCCAAGTGCAACATGTGTTCCCCTTCGCGGACATGACATCCCCTCAACAACATCTCCCATAAACTATGGAAAGACTTGGTGCATTTGGGGGTCGAAATACCAAATGACATACCACCTGAAATCCCAGGAAGATCGCGGAGCAGCAAGATGTGAGATGCGCGCCGGAGGAGATTCGTGAAGTCCTTGCCCAGGCCGGTGGCACCGAAAAATCTGAAGAAACGCAACGCGCTTGGAACCGGCCATTTGGACAGGTTCCTTTTCAACATCTGCAGTGTTCCTTTGCGTACCTCTTAAAAAACACAACTTTTCAACTTTTTGGGGGTAACATGGGCTATATGTCTGTAAAAGATTAACTTTTTCAGGGCTTGGAGTTTTAAGGGGTAAGTTTGGGTTTGGCCACCAATCGAGTGGTAAAGACAGCATGTGGATGTTGTTCGCTGGCCATCCACGCAGGTTTTGGGCTGACGGGTCTCGAAGCGGACGCGAATGAAGCCCCTATCTCCGATGAATAGGGTTTGCCCAGAGACGCCATTCTTCTGTGTGCTTTCGGTCGCCAGCACCAACCGAAAGGGGCTTGTGTTTCTTGGTTGCGAAAGATGAAATCCACGCGCCCTGAAGAGGTGGACGATGGCGAGGGCCGGATCAGCCTCTCGGGGTTTTGCTGCTTCTGGGCCATCATCACCAACGCGCAGAAGAAAATCAACTACCGCGAGCCGCTGCGACAAGAAATTGACGAGAGACTGCGGGGCTCCAACTGCACAATAGCCTTTTCAGGGCGTCTGTTTTGAGCATACCTCTTGTGGTTCCCTTAAGGGGGCTTGCTAAGAACGATGTTTTGTTTGTTGCTAAGAGCTCATATGTTCGGTCCGCCGAGGTATCTGGACGACCAGGATGTGAGCCGATTCCGGGCCATGTTCGAGGACCAGTGAGTCTGAGGGCCGGAGAGGGGGCTGGGTTGGGTGAAGATCAAAAAATTGACCGCCTACGACTTGAGCCAATCCTATTACTCCGAAAGGTGCACTTCCGTCAGCCTCATGGAATCTCATGGAAGGGCAAATAACCTCGGTGATTCTTGGTCGAAGACTCGGGGGGAGGGGTGATTTGCTCTCTGTTGGAAGTGTCAGATGAGCTGTTGGCCGGTCCTAGGATATGGGCGTGTCTTAACAATAAGGGGAGCCCCCCCCAACATGGGCGGTTTCCATGTGGTTGCCCTTGAAGACCCCGAAACGGGAACCCTCAAAACAGGCACGCCCGTATCCTTTCCAGTGGTACAACGGTGGCAATTCAATCATGCAACCCTTAAAACCAATTCAATCCTTCCCAATTACAGCGAGTTTCAGTCTTAATTCAAAAGAACCCCGAAATTGATGGCTTTCCTCGTAGTTCCCCGTTAAAACGACAAGGCCAGCCACAAAACACTCATCCTATGTTGTTTACATATATATATATATATATATATAAGATGGTTCCCTTCTGGCCTAGGATGGTTGTAGATGGGGGCAGTCCTCATGGCCTGGCCTTTCCCATCTGTCCGTTCGCGCAGGAAGCCGCGGGAGAGACGAAACAGCTTACCCGGAAGGAGGCCAAGGGGATTCGGGTGGCATGGGCAGCCGGCTACGTTTCATGGCCGGAACCAGGCAACAAGTGGCCAACTGTCCAGCGCTTGGCTTTACTTTTTGGAGGGGTTTTGCATCCCTGGTTTTTGGGATGTTGGACTTCCGGCACCTTGCAGCGGCGCGGGGTTCAAATGCCCAAAGCAGCCTACTGGCACCAGCAAATAAGGATCGTCAAGAAAAAAGCGGAGTGGTTGAATGGCGCGAAACAATGTGGGCAACTTTACCGGCCGAACGTGCGTACATCAAGCATGATTGAGGTTTCTTCCCCTTTCGCCTTCACTGGCTTGGCAGCTGGCCATTCGTCTGATCGCCCTGGTTCATCGCAGGTTTGATCCGTGTCCATTGAGTGTTTTGCAGTTTTGAGACCGAGCCTTTTTCCCACTGACTGCAGGTCTCCGACGTGCTAAAAGAGAAGGGCTTGGTCCGAACTAGGAAGCACGTGACGCGTCTCTTCGATGAGAGCGGGTTCGACAAAAACGCGACCTTAGACGCTCAGCTGCGCGGATCCCTTCGAGCGGCCACGTTTTTGGCAAATAAACCAACCACACTCGACCGAACCATGGTATTTCGTTTGCAAAGTTGGGGTTCCCTTCTTCGGTCTGCCTGGGTCCCGGCAATTCTCACCCCCCGAATCTTCACAAATGCCCTGGCTTGCCTTTCTTCAGTGGCATGTGCCAGCCAGTATAGAAATTGGGCATGCGAGTTGTTTTTCAGTTGAGTTGCTCTTTACAGCTGGCAACAACAGAAGGATTGATTGTCAGGTGGCCAAGACAAATTCAGACTGGCTGGGGCGAACTTGAAATGCTCCCCGGCCTGCTGTGATTCTCGCGCAAAGGTCAGGGGTCAACACTCCGGGCTGTTCAAAACGGATCCAACCCGGAGGGAAGGTACCTAGACCAGTCTCGTTTAGAGACCTTCTGCAACCTTTCATGTGCAGCCAGCCATGCGCGTTTTTTTTTCTCCCCCCGAAAGCATGGCGAAGGGTTCTTCCGCTGGGTTCTCTTGAGTTGTTCTCATGAGAGTCATTACAAGGTGTCATTGCAAGGAATCAGCATCATGAAAGTCATTGCAAGGAGTCATTGCAAGGAATCATCATCATGAAAGTCATTGCAAGGAGTCATTGCAAGGAGTCATTGCAAGGAGTCAAGGAGTCATTGCAAGGAGTCATTGCAAGGAGTCATTGCAAGGAGTCATTGCAAGGAGTCATTGCAAGGAGTCATTGCAAGGAGTCATTGCAAGGAGTCATTGCAAGGAGTCATTGCAAGGAGTCATTGCAAGGAGTCATTGCAAGGAGTCATTGCAAGGAGTCATTGCAAGGAGTCATTGCAAGGAGTCATTGCAAGGAGTCATTGCAAGGAGTCATTGCAAGGAGTCATGGCAAGGATTGCAACTTGCACTTGACTCCTTGCAATTGCAACTTGCACTTGACTCCATGCACTTGCAACTTGCACTTGACTCCATGCACTTGCAACTTGCACTTGACTCCATGCACTTGGCTCCTTGCACTTGGCTCCTTGCACTTCCTTGCACTTGCAACTTGCACAATGACTTGCTTGACTTGCACTCCTTGCAATGACTCCTTGCTGCAATGACTCCTTGCAATGACTCCTTGCAATGACTCCTTGCAATGACTCCTTGAAACAAGCAAGGAGTCAAGTGCAAGTTGCAAGTGCAAGGAGTCAAGTGCAATTGACTTGCGAGGAGTTAAAATCTCTTCTTAGGGCGGCGGGGTAGTGCCGACGACACTACACGAAAATCGACCCTCTGCGGGGATCGGCGTGGTCGAGGTGCAAAAACCCATGGTTTTTTGCGATTTCTAAAGTTCCCGCGCGACCCTCTGCGGGGATCGGCGTGGTCGAGGTGCAAAAACCCATGGTTTTTTGCGATTTCTAAAGTTCCCGCGCGACCCTCTGCGGGGATCGGCGTGGTCGAGGTGCAAAAACCCATGGTTTTTTGCGATTTCTACAGTTCCCGCACGACCCTCTGCGGGGATCGGCGTGGTCGAGGTGCAAAAACTCGAGGTTTTTTGCGATTTTTAACATGCTCGCGCGACCCTCTGCGGGGATCGGCGTGGTCGAGGTGCAAAAACTCGAGGTTTTTTGCGATTTCTGCGGTGCTCGCGCGACCCTCTGCGGGGATCGGCGTGGTCGAGGTGCAAAAACCCATGGTTTTTTGCGATTTCTGCGGTGCCCGCGCGGGGATCGGCGTCTCGAGGTTTTTTGCGACTTTTGTTGTTCGAACTGGTCCTCGGGAGTTGTCTCGTGGTTCGCGCGCCTGCTCCCGGAACCGGCGGGTCGCGGGTTCGATTCCTCCCTGGTCCGCGGGCGGGCGTCGCAAGATGCAACTTGCATTTTAAAGCAACTTGCGCAGAGCAACTTGCGCAGAGCAAGTTGCACAGAGCAACTTGCGCAGACCAACTTGCACCGACCAGTTTGCGCAGAGCGCCTTGCCTAGAGCAACTTGCGCAGAGCAACTTGCGCAGAGCAACTTACGCAGAGCAACTTGCACAGAGCAACTTGCACAGAGCACCTTGCCTGGTGCTGTCTCGCGCTTGCTTCACGAATGCTTCGCATAGGGAAAAAGAACGCATCCTGCAGCGTTGGGCCGACCTCGCTTGCGATGTTCTGCTTTCGGGCCAACCGTGGTCTAGTTTTTTTAAGAATGGTTCTCTTGTAGCCCTACTTTGGTATGACGGGCTAAAAAGGTTACTAACATGATCCTTCCAGGGCTATGTTGTTTTTAGCTCATTTCACTGAGTTCCTGGACTTTAGTCACTTTCTGGGCTTGAAAAACCAGTGTGCTTATTTCGTGTGGCCGATCCACGGAAAGTGGGTGAAAGTGCCTCACAGTCTGATGATTTGGGCAGTAGACGGTCCCTCCCCGAGCCGGACTATGCGGGGGGAGATCCTTACAGTGGGTGGCTTTCTTGTGAATGTCCCTTGAAGCCAAGGCAAAAAGGGTACCAACTCTAAGCTCTAAATACCAGACTCGTTTTCAATCCGCCAAACATCGACCAATTTGCCGCCCTTTTCCGGCAGCAACTTTTGACCCGCCTGGGAAACGGACCACGGGACCACGGGCTCGGGCCGTCGGGCGCCGAGGACTTCACCCAGCTCTGCATTCTCCTGGTGAAGCTGCAGAAGCGCCGGAAGCAGCGGAGCTTGACGCCTCAGACGCTCGGCCTCCATTTGTTTTGTTGGTTTCAAAGGCGGTGCAAGCAGTGGAAAGCCGCGGAAAAGTCGGTGTTTGCTGGGATCTTTCGGTGTTTGATGTTTTAAGGTGGGCGAAAGAATTAGTTGCTACACGATTGTCGGCTTCCTCGTTTCACCTGAGTATAGGTTGGCTACAGATGAAGCAGAATCAGAAGAATGCTTAGCATGCCCTCGGAGTGGGTTCTGACAAGGCTTTGGTCAGAATTTCTCGGAATTCTGGAGGAGACAATGCAAATTCGCAAGACTTGCCCTGGTTGCTTGACACTTCCATTGTCGGACGCATACCATGTTCGCTCGCCACTTCTGTACAAAGCATTGGTGAAAAGCTAGGGGACGCTCTTGCAGGATTATATGAAACCCCTCACCACACATCCTCGCATAGGAGATTCCTGTGCAAAGGCTTTTTTGAGCTCCGTGTTGACGGAGAAAGGCGCAATGACATTCATTGGGTCAAGAAGCCCTCTCCAATCACAAGGGCGACTTGGGAGGGTTCCATGTTAGTCGGCAGGGGGCTTGATTGCTATGTGGTAGGACCTGTGAACACACATGTCTTCCCGCTCGTCAAGAAACAGTTGGGAACTTTTTGCGCAGGAGCAATAGCCTGGGTTGTTCAAAAACAACCCTTCATCCTTACCTTGGGTTACGAAGCGCCAGTTTGCACTGGCTTTCCAATAAGGATTTTGGATTGTCTATTGGCCAATAGCCAATAGGAACCCCTGATCAATCAAGCCTGGTTGATTTTGATCCCATTTTCTTTTGGTGGGATCCCTTGACTGCCACGGGTTGAAGGCTCAATCGCCTTGCAAGGACCTGCAGCTGCGCGGATTTGTATGCCGAGGGCTTTACGGTGGAGGAGCTGGTCATGACGCGCGGCTGCGAAAAAGAAAGCAATAAACGAAACTCATTGAATCCACGAACCCGATGAATTGCCCAAAGCTGCCGTTGTGTGTGCGTGTCCCTACCTATCCATTTACCTGCCTGTTGACCTACTAGATGTTTGTATCCAACCGTTTGCCTGCTCAGTGGAATCGAAAGTTAATCGTGTTAAAACAACCTTGGCTGAAGCAATTCAAGCAAGTTTGTCCTTTTTTAGCAGGTTTGTCCGGACCCCACAAAAATAGAACCAAACCAGATGTTGAAACTGCTGTAGGAGGGCAAAGGCTTGTGAAGTGACCAAGGTGACAGGTGTTCGCCATCCTATTGGTGGTGAGACTGTTTTTCAAGATCCCTATTCACCGCCATTTTTGCAGAACAGCACGGATGCCCACACCCACTTGCCGCAAGAGAAGCGAAAGATAAGTCATTTGGCCAGAGTGCGCTTCAGATGATGGAGATGGTGTGGGCCAACTCATGGACGATACACACGCCACGGAAAGTGTTTGGTTTGTTTGCATTTAATTCCCATGAAGCAACTATCATCTCCTTGTATGGTGCAAACGCTTCCTGAGCCAATGTGCATAGCGATGCTTCCCCCAGTGACCCACTCTCATGCTTGCAGCCAAGCTGCAAGAAGGAAGCCGCAAACTTACGCATCCCAAGCATCCTGGCAACGAGGCACGGGCCGACAGCAAACGTGCTTACGACGGAGTTTGCTTTTGCGCCTGTTCTGATGGTGCCTGGAGCCATTCCGCCAATAAAACAGTTGGGGCTAGTATGGCCACCGTTGTTTACTGAGCCTTTCATGAGTTGCATCATCTAGATTGAGTCCTTGCCGTTCTTTTCATGTTGAAATTTAGGGATGTTGGTTGCTTTAAGCAACTTTAATCTGGAGATCTGAGGTGTGGCTTCACGCTCCGCGATTTCGAGCAGATGCGGTTGCCAGCCAAGAAGCTCTCAGGCTCGCCGGAAGGAAAGCTTGCTGGCTCCAAAAGAACTACATTGCCCATACAAGTGGGAACACCCAGAAAAAGGGGTGGTTGCACATAAACCCCAATGTGTGTTGTATGTAGATATAAATATATAGTATATGTATATATGTATGTATTTATTTGGTTTTTATGGTGGCCAACCAGGGTTCTCAATTCAAAACCACCTGGAGTCCCCATGGCCATTTCAACACGGTGCCATGAAGGGGCATCTTTCCGTATTTTCAAAAGGGTCTTGGACAACCCCCAAATTTTCGGAGCCCGACCAAAAAGCACAGAAAAGGAACCAAAACCGCCAAAACCGCCAGGGAGGGTCATTGAAGGGTCTCGGAGAGCGAGTGGGCGAGGCGGCTTTTCCGCGCTCGAGCTGCGGAAAGCAGGCGCGGCTGCACATCTTGGCAGGGTCATTGGTGAGTGCTTCTAGCCGTGCCTCCCCATTCTCTTCAAGGATCCTTTTGTTCAGACAATTGCCGAACAACAAAAAACATGGGTGATTTCTGAAAGGAACCATGGGTGAACAGAATGTGGAATCAACCCTTGTGGTCAGCATCCGCCATTCCAGAAAATGAAGCCGGTGCCTTTTCTTTCCCACTCCGCTTTTCCGGCCTGTCAGGCATGCTGATGCATGAACCATCCAGTCGGATCAATTGGGGGACGTTGAATCACAACATTTATCTACAGCAAGATAAGTCCAATCAAATCAAAGCCGAGCAGAAAAGAATACTGTAAAAGGGGCCTTGTTGCCGTCCACAGGGTGATTTGGGTTTTTTGTGCGTTTGGGCTCCGGCGGTTTTCTGTCGCATGCATTTTTGTGGGGAAGGCACTTGCACCTTCAATGGTTGCACGCAGGGAAAAGCGCGGCAAAGAGGCAAGACCCAGATGCAAGTAGCCTGGTTGCCTACAGTCGCAACTGGATCCGCGTAAGACTAATTACAACGTGCTCATCAAGGAAGAGACTTGTTCTTTCAGTCAACCTGTTGCTTTTTTTGGGCGGGGAAGATCTCACTGTTTGCTAGGTTGATCCAAGTTGAGACTGGTTGACCCTGCTTGCCTTTAAAGGGTACCCCTACAGAAACTCAAACCCACGCAACCTTTTTTCGGAGCCCATTCGCTTTTGTCCAGGCTACTCTGCAGGAGACCTGCGTAGAGCAGGCATGGGCCTCATCGAGCTCAGGCGGGGCTTTGAACCCCCATGTCTTTGGTATCTTTGAGGTTTCTGCGCGGGTGTTGGACTGGAAACATAGGAGTGAAGCCGCCACCAACATGGAATCTTACCTCTCCAAACATGGAACCTAACAGAAGGCCCTTCTGAAAGGAACATGTTTGCCTGCAGAGTGCTTTTCTGCTTCCATGTGGGCGGTGAGCAAAGTTTGGTTGAGGAGAAGTCGCCGAGCCCATCTAAGAAAGCCAGACCCCGAAGGTGCTTTCGAAGGTAACCTTCCATCGACAATTCAGCAAATTTGACACGCACCTCACTTGGGAGTGCGCTAGATTAAAAGGCTTGGGGTTATTTCCATCTTTCTACATTAGGACACCATTGTGAGCCTCTAAAAGGTTGGTGTTGGTTTTCTTCACCATGGACCATTCCCCGTACCAGGTCGGGTTGCCCCCTGCCTTGTCCCTTCTACCATGTCCCTTTTAGGAAACCCTTCAGGAAGAAGTTGTCAACCCCAGGCAGTTTTCCGGACGCCACTCAAAATCTGAGCCTTCGGGTCCCTGCAAGCTAACATAGCGCCCGAAATGGAGATTTGCAAGAGGAGCATTAGGTACCCGAACGCGAACCCGAACCCCAGGTTAGGTTAGGGGTTAGCCGGGGTACATTCTGAAGAGGAGATAGCTCCTTGTTGGCTTTCTGGGTTTGTTCATCTGCAAGGTCGCCTATCGCCCCCCTTTTAAGAACTCCATAAGGGGGAGTCTCTCCAAATGAAATGCGGTCCTTTTGCTATGGTTTTGGAGGGGGACCAAAGAAGCCAACCATTCTGTTTGTCCATTCTGTCTGGCAAGGACAAAGCCCTACATGTCCACTTTCGGGGCCCCAAAGATGGTCATGAGTTTTAAGAGTTGGACCAAGCTAAGTGGGTAGTGGACATAAATCCCTTAAAGAGAACGTCCCCAATTAAAATTCAAGGCCTTGCGGTTATGTGTCAAAATAGCGGGATTTCCCGGAATGGACCTATGCTTGGTGTCCTTTCTCGTTTTCCGTCAAAGGTTCTGCTTTTGGGCCAGCCACAGGGAACTTGCCATTTTAGGGACTCCCTGAGTTCCCTGAATCAGACTTTCGGAGTTTGGACCATTTGATTGGTAATATATATATATATATATATATATTGAAGCCCATCCAGTTGATCGGAAGTGACCAGGGTAACGAAAAGCACCCCCTTGCCATGGGGATGTGTCTTAAAATGGAATAGGGGACCCCACAAGGATTTTAGGTTTCTGTTTGTTCCCCTTTAACACAACACCCCAAAAGGCTACCAACTCCGACAAAGACAAACCCACAAGATGGAGAACCCTTGTTTGGTTCATCACTTTGCGGGAACACCCCCATAATTTACAGGGGGTTAATCCGGGGTCATCGTTGCCTGCAGAGGGAAACCTTTGCCATACCCTCCAACAAGAATGGGAGCTGACGATCGGAGGGGTTTGGAAGTCCCTCCTTTTCAGAACGTCCCCCTCCCAAGCGTGGAAGCTGACAGTTGGGAAGTCTGCCCTCCTTTTCCTTTTCATCCACTTCCATTCTTGGAAAGAGGGCGCCTCCTCCCGAAAGAAACTACCATGGAAGCCAAAAAAATTGGCTTTGGGTTAGAGGCTGGCCCTCCATTTCCCAAACAATCCGACTGTATGCAAGATATACATTTAACCGCATGGGTCAAATGTTGGTTTTCATTGCCAGCCGGATTGGGTCTGGGCTTTGTCCCGAATCCGCGGGAAAGAAGAGACCCAAAGTTTGGGAATGAACCGTTGGAAGGCATTCCCTTTAATGGTGGACTCTCTTTAATGTTACCCCCCCCTGAACAGTGGAACCAGTCGGCGGGACTCTCTTTAGTGAAATCCTGGGGGTCTGGGAGGGGCAGTACTTACTTTAGCATTGCCAATTCTACTTTAGTATTGCTAAGGCTGACTCTCAGATCGCCAGTACTTACTTTCGTATTGCCAATTCTATTTTAGTATTGCCAAGGCTCGTTTCTCAGCAACCCCCAAAACCAGTTGGACACTAAAGAGAACCCCAAAACAGTCACATTAGAGAGGATCTGGGCCTCTTGTGCGCACCCCCCTTTGTGTGACTGTTTGCCCGCACTTTTGTGTAAAGAAGTTATCTTCAATTTGATGGTTTGGGGACCACTTCAAGAAAAGGATTTCCCAATGTTTGCCAGGATTTGTTTGCACGTTTTTTTGCCCGACTTGTTTGCCAAGTTGTTGTTTCCCAGCGTTGCTTCCGGCAAAAACACTTTCAATAATATAGAGGACCCCTAAAGCAGTCAAGTCAAACAGTTCTGAATTAGAAAAAATGTTTCCACAATAGGGAGTACTATTAATAAAGGAGGTCCAACATTAAGAAGAAGAAGCCACCAGTTTGACAATTCTTTATCGGGGTCATTCCATTTCTCATTCCCTGAGAACCAGCAGGTTGTTGGACTGGAGACATAGGTTGTTGAACTTTCCTGGAAGAAAGCCACAACTTGCCACAACTTGCTGGTGCTCAGTGAATGAAGGAAAGCAACGTTGGAAGGGATTCCCGAAAGAAGGACACCAGTTGGATTCCATTTCCCTTACTTACCCCAAACCCCAAATCATTGGGAAAGAGCCCTGAAAAAAAGTGCCCAGGTTGAATTGTTCTTTGGTTTGGTTTCCCTCCCCAGTTGCCGGGTGAACCACCCACCTACTAGAACCTAACACCACCAATTGCCTTTTTTGGCTTTAGTCCTTTCCCCCAAACCCCAAACCCCAAATCCCGGTTGGCTTCCCTTCACTGCCTTCCCATTTCGCCCCAGGACCTGCGGCTTCAGCCTCTCGCAGCTGCGCACCGCCGGCTTCTCCGCCGCCGGCTTGGCGGAGGCCAACCGCCTCTCGGCCAAATCGCCCCCGGGCGAGGGGATGCGGAACCGCAAGGTGCCACAAAAATCAAGATAGAAATGTCTGGATTGGACAAAGCGTTTCTGGAAACATCGGTTCGAGTAGATTCCTCGGTGCGAAACGGATAGTTCTTACATGCAACAAACCAAGTAATATAGAGGAATCTACTTATTTAGGGTTCACGGTTCTGTGTACTACAGTTGAACCCACCCCGTGTTTTGAAGGGTGTTTTGTGTTTTTTGTGCGGGGTTTTGGGTGTTGCTTTGGGTTGTTTGTGGTTGTTTGCAGTTGTTTGTGGTTGTTTGTGTGGGTTGTTTTTGGGTGTTTTTTTTGGGGGGCGGGGTTTTGGTTGGTACAAAGGACTTGCTGATAGGGTTGAAAGGGAAGCAGACAAGAAAACCGACATCATTGGGGACACCAAGATTGGGTCCTATTTGCCGGCAACAAAAATCAAGTACCTCAAACAACACACCAAATCTACACTCCAGCCCAGTCATGATGGTTGCTTCCCCTTTTCCACTTGGGCGCGGCTCGTCTTTTGAGGCTTCGGCAAACCAAGTGCAAACCGACCTGTTTGGGGGGGGTCCGTCGAGACAACACATATTTAGGGTCTCCAAAACGACTTTTTGGGTTAGACTCAATGTGAAACGCCTATGTCCAGCACCCTTCTGTTTGTTTCTTCTAGTCATGATTAAACGTGATTTTAGCATATCCCACCCCGCCTCACTCAACTGGAAGGAAGCTCTAAAATTGACACAAATGTTGAGTTTTCATTCTAAGCGTGCCACTTCACCTCGGTGCATAAGGGGGAAGAGAAGAAACATCACTTGGGGGGGAGTGATCGGTTTTGACGTGCTGTCTCACTTTGTGGCGAGCTCGCCAATTGGGGTCAAACGAGCTCGTTATGATTATAGGTCCCTTGATGCAAAGACACCAGTTGGGAGTTGTGCTTTATCAAGGAGGGCTCCATAAGAGGCACGCTGAAACAGTTTCCTGAACCCAAAAGAGGACATAGGAGTTTTGTGGAACATTTCGTGAGATCTCCACATGCCTTCCAAATGAACATAGACTTGACGTTTCGACCAAGCCTGATACTTTTTCCCTCGCGGGGCTAAAGCATCAACGCTCGTGCCAACGCACCCCTGCCCATTTTTCCTGCCACGCCTAATGCTTCGATGTCGAAGATTTTTTTGGGCGAGGTATCCTTTGGGCAGTTCCAGTGTCAAGGAAATCGCATCATTGCTCCAGCACATTGATATGATTTGGGCCCGGCTTCCTTTTGGTGTTTACGACAAATCTGAAGCTGGGTTGCTGATCGGATGGGATAGGTGGGTATTTTCCTTGGTTACCAGTCTGCTCTCGAGCGGTGCCACCTCAGGAACTATGCATAGCTGCTTCAGCGTGGGTGACTTCACGCTTTTGCCGCAGATCGGAAAGAGCAACTTGGCAACCAGCGGTGAGCGAGCCGAGTTGCCAAATCGATGCACTCAGATCGATTTGCTTCAATGAGTTTACATTTTGTGGTGCCCTGATACTGAACCGGAATTAAACATATCAATTTCAGTTGGGGGGCAATTGCCGAGGCACTGCAAACAGGGATCGAATCTGGGATGGGCGATGGGGCATCTTTTTCGGAGAAAACGCAGCAGGCCTTCGGGTCTTGGGCCGGCTGACTGCAATCTCTTGAAACCGGTGGAGGCCATCCCAGGTATTACACTTCCATCAAGCTACACAGACGTTGCGTCGCTGAAGGACTTGTCGGGTACCTAATCACAGCTTGATTGCTCTTACGATATGAGTATTCTTCCATTTCCTCGGGGCCCCTGCACCGGTAGATGGTTGCTCCCAGTCATGGAGGGCCACCATCCAAACTGCAAGATTGTCCATCCACAGCCTGCAACACAAAGCTTCGGCGTCTTCTGTCGACAGCTGTTGTTTGCTGGTTTGCTTGCCTTCATTTGGTGAAGTGGTGCCGTGTTAGCTCTCAAAGGGAAGTTGTCGTGCTTGGCATGTATTTCGTCTTTGTAGTGGCACGCACCGGCAGCACAAGTGAATGCCGTGCTTGGATGTTTGCATTGGCTGGCGCAAAGCTTGTTTGGATGACGGTCCCATTTACATAAGCCATCGGTTCAATTCTTCAGCAGTTGCCCTTTGGTAGCTTTCCCTGGGCAGGTCCACGCAAGGCTAGGGCCCCACACCAGCGGCCCACGGAATATGTTCGGGAGGACTTCGAGAATTGGGACACTGGCTGACCTCCAAACCATTCTAAGTGAGCTTGCTCTCCAAGGTCGGGCAGCCACAACCACCCATTTGGAGCACGCGCTTTCGTGTGGAAGCACCGTTACAAGATCAAACCAGGAGAAACAGATACACGCATGTGGTGTGTCCTTTTTGGGGGACCCCGAAAATGGTGTTGTCCTTTGGCTTCCCTTTTCAACCACCCCAACGGGGTCAGTCCGAACAAGACACCCAGATGCATATACAGACATATATGTATATATACACATGTATGTACATATACCGCTCACATACCGTTGCAAGCGATTCGACGTTAGTGATGAGTGTTGTCAATTTGATTTAGAGTGACTTAGAAGTCAACGGTTCAAAGCTCAAGCGAAATAAGAAGCCGATTGATTCAGCTCTGCGTCGCGAGCTGACTTTTGAGGCTCATTGGTCTCGTGGAGCACTGCCACCAAGGACCCGAGTTGGATGTTTGATTCCACATGGGAGTTTTTTCAAGGGTGTGTAGCTGGAGCTGACTAGTGGTAGCTCGAACTCATTGAGGACAGTTTTGCTTGTAGATAAAGCAAGCCTACGCTTTTTGTTTGGGCCTTCGACTCTGGAAGTGAGAATCATGGTTCAATCCATCTCATGGAGGGTGTTCAAAGTAATTAAAAAAGTGCTTCCCTTCCTCCTAAAACCCCCATACCATTGGGGTGTGTGTGGGACCCGAAAAAGGATTTCGGTTTTCCCTCCAGTTTCCCTTGTCCCCCAGCCCCGGAACCCTCTGCTCTATCGACCCCGAGCTTGGTTCCCCTCAATTGGTGATTCGGATGGGTTGGGGATCTGAACCCCTTTGTAGAGGGAGGCTGGGAAATCCAAACCACCGGGCTCCAAACCAGCCCTTTTGAGAGCGGATTTGTCCCGCTCCATTCCCCGAAACCCGGGCTCCAAGCCACCCGTTTTGAGCAGAGCTTCCCTCACACCGGGCGCCCCAGCTAGGACGTGCTCGCCGCGCAGCGCGCCACCATGACGCCGCTCATCCGCGAGCACACGGACGGGCGCCACAAGATCCGCGCCTTGGAGTCCCGCTTTTGGGGGGCGCGGTCTCTTGGGGCGAAACCAAAACTAGGTCCCCCAGTGCCCTTCTCACCCACTTTTTTGGTTGGGAGGGCTCCCCTATTTAACAGGAAAAAAAACCAGGTACCCTTATTCTAACCTCTCTACTGGAGGACCTAGAAAAGCTAAATGGAGGTCAAAAAGCAGGTTTGGGGATGGAAAAGCAGGTCATCCTGTGGCATTTTACGGCCCAGAGATCAGAAGCCCAATGGCGCTCAACAACCAGACCTGGGGATAGAAATGCAGAGGATGACCGCTGCAATGGCACCCCGTTTCAATTTTGATGGATGTTTTCACTCAAGGGCTAGTTCCTGGGGAAGTGGTTTCGCGCCAATCCACTTAAGTGAGTCGGTTTCCTTTGGGGGCCCCTTTGCAATTTAATTTACAAAAATGGCACCCTTGTTTGAGCGGCGCCCTTCGCTTTTTGGGCTGGTTTGCGACCCACTTCAAGCATCGTGAACACTCGACGCCAAAGTGGGTTCCCTTTTTCTACCAAGCCCAGACACCTGAGTACTTTCAGCAACGGAGCCGAACAGCTAAGCGAAGGAGGCAAGATTCGCCACAACTTTCTTGTTGCGGGTCCCCCAGATTTGGCACTCGGCCGGGATCCCCCTACCTGGGATGTGTTTGTTTGTTTTGTGGACAGGCTGAAATCAACGGTAGCGGCATGGATTCCAAGACAACAGCCCCCAACAGGCTTCCGATGACTACAAAGAAAGACAGCCCATCGGTATCGTCCATCCTGCTTATGCTGCTATTTAGCTAGGTGCAAAGAAGCAAAGAACGGAAGGAACAATATGCAGCAAGGAATCCAGGAACATAGGTGGTCTTTCCGGTTGGTTGCAGTTTGTTCCTGTGCTAGAACCATCAGTCCATCGCAAAGGACACCACCAGTCCTCGCCGGCAGTGCCCCGTAAAATGTGGTTTTAAACAGGACACTTTGCGTGCGGGAGATGCATGGAGCAGTAGCTACATCTCAGGTTGGTTTTCATCCAGGGTCGACATTCGCGCACGCGCAATTTCTCAGCTGCGTGTCGCTTTTCGGGGACCTCCCTCAAAAGAAATGCGTTTGTCCTTTTGGTTTCCCGGTGACCCCCATTTAAAAGGGTACCCTCAAGAGAACACCACCCCCAGTTTGGCAGATCTGAGGCAGCCCGTTCAGCAAGAGCCTGCCGAGCTTCCAAGAGAAGCGACTCCCGGTACCCAAATGAGGCATTCGACGCGCGACTCGCCCCTGGCTTCCAGTTGTTCAGTGGCAAGCTTCAAATGCCTTGCTCGGTGGCTTCGGCACCAAACGTGGTCAAGCCGGAAGCGGGTTCCGGGTCTTTGTCTACCGAGGTCACTGGGCAATGGGTTTGTTAACCATGGAGTCAAAGCAATCCTCAATCAAGCCTTCATCCATGAAGGTGGGGAGGCCCCAGAAGCAAAGCTGCGATGTTGATTTTGAGTATTGGAGGTGCATTTTTGGCTGGTGTCGTTTTCTTGAGCGCTCGAACCGTAGCAGGTGATGGTGTTCAGATGGCCTTGACGGATTGCAGAGAAAACGAGCCAATCCTGGTACCTCCTTTTGGCCTTTTGGTTTGCCTTTGGTTTTTACTGCGTCATTTTTTCACGCCTTTTTCAACCACGTGCACCTCAGGTCGTTTTTTTCAAGCACTGGCATGTCCGATGTAACAGTCAAAGGAGCTCACCTTCTTGGGGATCTCGAGAGCGAGGTCGCGAGGTCGCAATGGAGCCCACGCCGATCTGCCAAGCAGTCGCGTGGGACAGGAAGCAGTGAGATCTGGGCCGAAATCCCAGTTCAGTGAAATCTGGAAATGTCAGAAAGGTTCTCACCCTAAGAACCCTAACCAAGGTAGGTTCTAGGAACCCTTCTTTTCGACCTTTCAAATCCAAGATTGCGTGTGGGACCCAGGGTCAAGCCAAAAACGGGATGGACCCCAATGTGGTTTTCCACCAGGGTCACTGCGTTTCCGGGAGGGCTTGGATTGGTGGTTTCGGTTTCAAACCCGGTTCTTGCAGAGGGCACATGGGAACCCACCCGCTCACCTCTAAACCACCCATCCGAACCACCCGTTGAAGGGAAGCTGAATCAAGATGAGTAACCGACTTTCCCATGTCCTCGGGTAACCCACAAAACTCGGATTTCATGGCCTGAATTGAGCCTGACCAGGCTCCGCCGCGGTGTTCAGGAGAAAAGGCCAAAATTTTGAGGTTTGGGTGTGTCTTTTTTGCGGGTTCCCCCAAGCGATGGGCTCAAGACACGGCCGTTTCACCTCCGCCCGGGTCAGTTTTGCCTAGTGCAACTGCAGAGAAGCCGAGTGTTTTTTGGCGAGCTGTGGGCATAGGACGAGTTGTCCAGGATTGGGCCGATGCGTTGGCAACAGGGGCAGGTACGGTATAGGTCTCCGCCTCGGCTGTTGATTATCAAACCCAAGTTGTATTGATTTGGGACTTCAGTTGGCGGGGTCCATGCCTGTTTGTGTATACGCATGTTTGCATATGTATATACATACATATATATATATATATATATATATATACGTAGCTGCATGTGTGGTTGCGGGTAATGTGCGCATGTGTCGGTTGGAATGGATCAGCGAGTGCACAGTCATGAAAGCGCGCCGCGCGGTTTTCAAAGACTACCATCATTTCATGGCATCTTCTTTGCTTCATGATTGATGACAAGGTCGCCATCATGTGGTCACATAAAAAGTTGAGTAAGGGCTCAGTTGTTTGACGTTCAGAGCAGTGAGTTTGACATGACCAGTGAAAGTCGAACACCTCGTTTCTCAAATTCCCTGGGTCAAAAGCTAAGTTGAGCTTTCCGTGGAACAAACCAACGTCAATTTAATGGAAGAGGTCCGGAGCGCTCGACTTCCGGAGCAAGATTCGGCATCTCTGAAAGTTGGTTTAGTTGACCAAGTCAACCAGAGCTTGCTTGGCACAAGCCCCACAGACCTCCTGACCAGGAGGCAGCTGGAGGCATTTGCAGCCCTTGTATAAGGAGGGGGGGACCTCCAACCGGGCCGCTGGTTTCCTTTTGGCGGGCAAATGGAAAGCAATGTGCAAGGGGATTGGGGGGGGGGGGGCCTGGTGATGTCCACTCAGTCGAGATATTTGTTGTGTTTTGCGGAGGCCCGATGTCTCGTCTGGGAAACGCATCTCGCGCTTCCACGTGGGGTGCGACGCTTCTTTTTGCCTGGCACGCTCCTTTCTTGAAGGTCTGCGAGGCCGGCAACCGGACTCGCAGATTTCCACGTGTTGCTGTCAGATGCCAGCAAAAGGATCATCTTGCGCACCGGTGCTCATGCGAGAGGCAAGTTTCAACACGGGTGTGTTTTTTGGCAGGGCGCCCCCCCGTTTCCCCTGAAAACCAACCAAAAAGGGGTTACCTAAAAAAAAGACACGCCCATTGAAAGAGGGTTACAAAAACTCTTCCAGACAGTGGTGTGGAAGTCGTAAAGGGGGCGAGCCACTGCACCATTGCCTTTGACGGCTGGTGACACAAACCAAAGCTAGCTGGGGTAAAAGCGCAAGCTGCAGCTTGACGTGTGCTTGGCACGAGAACATCAGAGTAATGGACAAGGATTTGAATTCAGAAAATGGGGTTGATAGTCCAGTTTCTGGACTAGGAATATGTTGCGATAGTCAGATGTATGTTCCAGACACGAGAAGTTAAATGATTGGTAAGACGTGTTGATTTGGCAAACCGAACGTCTCCACTTATTTGGCCATCTCAGGGGCTGAGTCGGAGAGCCTTCTGGCATGCCGTTCCCGGCAGCCTGAAACTGAAGTTGTGCATCTCAAGCATCGTCGTGGCAAGTCACCATGACCCTTGCCAAAATGGGGCTATCACACAAGGGGTCCTCACACCATGTTTGAAGGGTCATAGCTCCAGGTTCTTGTTATTTCTCTGCGCCATGTCGGGTTTCATCACAACCCCGGGTTCCTTTTGCCGTTTTGTGTCGCCTCAAACCTTTGGGCCCTATGGCATCGCTTCCCCCCACGAAACCCACGATCCACGTCGGACCGGTCCCCTAGAGGCCTTCGGCTCAAGTCACGCGCACAAGACGAGCGTCGAGGCTTGAAGGACTCGGAGGGAACCCGAACTCAATTCGGATGGCTAGGTCCCCCAGTGCCTTTCTCACCCTTTTTTGGTTGGGAGGGTTCCACTACTAAAATAGACTACAGAAAAAAGTTGGAACCCTTATTCTAACCTCTCTACTGGAGGACCTAGAAGGGGTACTTCCGGCACTATGAACGGACCTTTGACCTGTCAATACGTTTTCCAGGATTTCTGATATTGGGCCAAGGTTCCGAAAGCTGATCAAGTCTTGTTTCCGGCCCTTTCGCATGCTTTTGGCACGCGCACCAAGCCTTCCTCACCCCAAACCTTTTTGCCAACCCAGTCGCTGCCTCTTTCTCCGACCAACCCACCCAAAACCCTAAGGCCCAAGATGAATCTTGCGGGAATGTCTCTTGTGCAACACTTTAGGCCCAAAATCTGCGCTTCAACATCCCAGTTGTTCAGTGGCACTCTTTTCCCTTTCTGTTTGGGTTGCAAAGACGGGAATCAACCAAAATGCTTTCTGGACAGGACAGCCATGGCCGGCCTGGCGTGGAGCTCAGGACCAGGATGTGAGGACCTTTTCGATTTAGTGCCACGTTTGGGACGATGGCACGCAGGGTTCCCAGATCCAGGACGGAGCCCCCATTTGGCCCCAAAGCCTTCCGCGGGAGTGCAAAGGCCAAAGAAGAGCCAGCGTTTCGGGGAAGTCAACGCATTCGGGGTTCACCATGGGGGCCATGGGCCCGTCTCCGATTGGAAAAGTCTATCGCTCAACGATGGGTAAAGCGAGCTCGGGTTCCAAGAGGTCCGAAAGTCCTTCCGAGTTGTGAGCCTTGGAATTTGAGGTCAAGCGATGCGATAAGGTCGAGCGAAGTAGGCAAGCGCGCAGCATTCTTCTCCGAGCCGAACTTCCGAACTCGTTTTGCGGGGTGGGGCGGGCGGGCCCATGAGAGCAAGGTGGCCTTCAAAGGAGTCATAGCCCTGGGTTGAAAAGAATGAATGCAGGGGGGGGCGCGTTTCTTCCAGCTGGCAACCGGGACGTCAGCTTGCTTGCACTTAGCATGTCTGCCCAAATATTAAGTGGATGTAAAGGTTCATGCCGCACGTTCCTGGGGTCCAAAAACCACTTTCGGGGCCAGGGGAAAGAAGCGCTTTTGAGGTTGCTGGCGAGCCGGAGAAGCAGTTCGAGTGGCATGAGACCTACAGGGCGGGGGCCTGAAGACCACCTACTCACCTACTCGCGTCGGTCAGTGAGTCCCCAAGAATAACATGGTCAATTTCCCTTGGTTTGAAAGGATCCATCTACGAAGCAAATGGTAGAACAGGCGGCCCCTAAAGAGGGAGAGTCCGTCTTTGGCCGAATTGCCACGGAGAGAGCTTTGGAAGCAAATGGCTTTCCATCAAACCTGCAAAAGGTCGAACGACCTTTTGCTCACGGGGCTTGGAGCAAGCCAGAAAAGAACCCCGGCGGCTGTTGGACCTTTGTCGGCCTAGCTCTCGAGTTCCCCGCCCGTGAGCTACGGGCGGGTCCACAAACTCAGCGGGTTAGCATATTGATGGCAGTCATTGGGTTTGAGCACCTGCTCTTACCAGTTTGCCCTTTTCCCAGGGTCCAAGTTAAAGACAGCCATCTCTAAACATGTCAATCTCCATGCTGATGCGGACTGCGTGGCTGGCAAGGCTCACAGTGAGAAGGCCATTTTAGCGGCTCGCAAACAAGTCCAATCCACGGAAGTCTAAATGGTGTCTTCTTTCAAGGGACCCCCGAACAAAAGAAAAGAAGGAGGATGAAGGAGGTGTTCCTTTGGGCTCCCTTTAAAGCCACCTGGGCTGCCCCGAAGAAAGACGCCCCCAAGTGGGTTTTCAGCGCGCAGGACTTTGCCAAGAACATGTACCGCACCTCCTACAGCGACATGTCGCGCCACCGCGAGGCCGGAGCTCAATGCCTAAGCTCTGAGGACTGATCTTTGGGGACCACTTTCAATGGCACAATTCATCAACCCAAAGAGGAAGTGCCCCAAAAACAAGATTGCCCGAAAACTGCTGGATTGTGGGGTTCGCATGCGAGCTTGCGGGAGTATGATCAGCTTTCCAAGGACGTGGGGAACGCAAAGTTCAAGCACTGAGACCAAGCGCCTCATTTTCCAGGGTCCATTTTGAAGAACCTCCTGATTTTGACCATGGCTCATTCGCTGGTGTGGGGATGTCTCCGCCTAAAAGAGGAGGCTCAATTGTTCAAGAAAGGCAGAGAACATTGCAGCCAAGTTTGGGTTATGGGTTCGTTTATGGGTTTGGGGAGGGTTTACGGTTTCTTGCGGTTTGTTTAGGGTTGGTTTGCCCGGCTTATCCTAATTGGACTCCATTCCGTTGCAAATCTGGGTTGCTCAAACTCAATCCTCAATGCTTATGCCAGATGGCAGTGGTCCCTTGTTGCGATGTCATTTTTAGCACGGATTGTGAATTAGGATTGGGAATACCCCCCCTTCCTCCGAACATCCCAGCCCCGGCATCTTTCAAGGACTACCGATGCGTACCCCAAGGCTCTTTTTTTGGTGGATTCCAGCGCAAACGACAAATATAGGTAAACAAGCAAACTTATAAATAGATACGTGTTGTATAAAGACCTGCTCAAGGATGCTGGAGATATGAAAATATTGTGATATGTATAGATCTGTTTGCTTGGTCAAGGCTTACGCAATTAGCCGATTTGACCGTTGGAAATATGACCCTTACCATGCCCAAGGGAGAACTTACAATCCCACTTGATCAGCTTGATGCGGGATTGTTTGGACTTGGCTGCTATTTGGTTGAACCGTTTGCCTGCAACATTTTGTTGCACAAGATTGCGTTTCCCCACACAAATCAATCAGTTGCACTTTTTGCGCAGGCAGCAGGCACGAGGAATTTGATTGGTGAGTCAGTTGGCTTGACTGGCTAGAAGCCAGCCAGGACTGGCGGCTCTTAGTGAAACCGCAGTTGGAGTTGGCAAGTCCGAATTGGGACTTCAATCAGCGCTTCCGTCAGCCGCAAAAACTACCAACAAAATCGCAAGAGCCAAATCCGCGCGTGAGAAGTTCTCTGCCAGGTTCACGTGAAGAGCGACCTGCCCTCAGGCTTCGGAGGCTGGGCCTTCGCTCAAAACGCTTTTCCGGGGTTCGCAGTTGTTCTTTCAGGGGGTCACGAGATTCTTCCCCCGAAGCAAGACTCCGTGGAAACGCTCGCCACCTTCGCAGGATCCGCAAAGGAAAATGGAGGAACCCTGGTTCTTGGGGATTCCACTCATTTCCATGGTTGCGAATACTTTGCAACCATGGGGCGTCCATTTCTTTCAACCAGCCGCCAGTACCAAGACGGTTTTTTTTTGTGCCGGTGGGACGGGAAGGCTTTTGGCGGGAGGATTCTTTTTGAAACAGTTGGCTGGGGGGGAGGCCCAAGATGTTGCATTCGTCAATTCTACTCCCCCTCTCCAACGTTTGGCTGGGTGCCAAATAGCCCCTGGCGTGGTTATATGTAGCCTCTTTCCCTTGGCACCCGCTGCCCGGGATCGCGCGAGGCCATGTGCCCTCAGTGCGCCACGACATTCTCTTCCGCAACACCCAGCAGTGGCCTCGTTGGCTCTCGTTTTGACCTCGATGTTTGGACTCAGGTAAGCCTAAACGTCCATGTGCTGAAAGAAGATGTGTGATTTTCCCTTGCTGGTTTTCAGGGAATCGATTTCACTGCTGGATGTTGTTGTTTTTGTGTTTTTTTTCCTCGGGGGACTAAGCAAATGGAAGTTGATTGTCTTAATGGGTGGGTGGTTCGGATTAGTGGTTTGGGGGATGTGAACCCCTGGTTCTTGTGGAGGGTACATGGGAAACCGCCCCTAAGCACCACACCATCAATCCAAACCACCAATTGGAACAAAGCTGATATACACTAGCTTGGCTGCCATATGTGAAATGGTTGCTTCCGCCCACAGAGTAGCAACTAAGTTAAGTGAAGACTTGGTGCTTGTTGGTTTCCCTTTAAACCCATCCAAAGGTACCCACAAAAAAAGTCACATTGATTTCTCATGTAAACCTGGGTTTGTCACGGGAGCTGATCGAAACTGAGGTTCGACAAAGCACAGGAGACGCTCCGGAACGACCCCAACCGAGCCCTGCCCGCAAGGGATTGGGGATCGGCGAAACCAAGGTGGATACCTCGGCCCCGCAAAGTGAACGTTTTGAGTTGGTCGAAAATAAGGACGTGAGACAACACTTCGAAGGTACGTGGCGCAATCCCCCCTTTTTGTTGGCTTAGTCTCCCCGTAAGGCTTACCCCATGTAAAGCAAAAGGGAACCGAAGTGCACGCAAGCGAGCCTAGAGTGCGGCGCAGGCACAACGGAAGCTTTGGCCCAAAGTGTCCAAACTAGCTGTTGGAAATCGCCTACGGCGCAGCTATGCAAAGATGGGGAAGGCCCACTCGGTGAACGGTTCCTTCTTCCCAGTGTGGGCTTGAGCTTTGCAGGGTCTGGGAGCTAAATAGCCCGTTGCCAAATGGGAAGCCCAAAGCATGCGGATATAGGTGTTTTTTTCGAGCCCCTCCCCCCCGTTTCATCCCCAGGCCACTGCACCTTTCTCGGGGCAATGCTTCGCCTTTTGCATGCCAGTTGTTGCGAAAATCGATGGGTTGCAATGGCGGCAGGTTGCCAATCATGTGCCCGTGCCATGTGATCCACACTCAAAAGGCTAGATAAAGGCCAGTGATGCATAATCCCAAATATAAGTAGGTGCGGCGGCCCTTTCATTTCTTCACATGGTTTTGGGTGGACCTCTTTTAGTACCAGAGTTTGACTGACGTGACTCGTGCATTTTTGGCAGAAGGACACCTAGGTGACCCCTGGGAAAGGACCGACAAGATCCGTGACAGCTTTGAATGGCTCAGATGAACAAAAGGGACCGACTTGGCATGGCCCTTGACCTAAAGGCGATTAAAACATGAGAGACGTTTTGTGGCGTACTCCTCGACCCCCCCCCGGGCAGTTTGCCCGATGCCCGGCCCAGCCGAGGAGATGCACGGCCTTCTTTCCAGGACCTTTGGGCAACCTCGGTGTTTTTGCATCACTCGGCACAGGATTTCAGTCAGTTTGCATGTTCCTTTTTTCGAACCCGCCAAATGCTTGTCTGTGTGTGTGTGATTTTTTTTCTGGTGGTCCCTGTGACCGAGTTTGAAATGTGCCACTGAGACAACCCCAAACAGTGTGTGGAAACCTCTCTGGAACAAGACCCAAGACGGTTCTCCCAAAAAGATACGCCCATCTGGGGTGCGAGGTGCAAAAACATACGGTCATCCATTTTTCAAAGGCCATGCCTAGCACAACATTCTTTTGGCCGGTTATTTGGCTTGGTTTTGGCCGGCGCGACTGGCCTGTGGTCGAGGAGTGAACGAGCAAATTGGAGATGTCCACTTGCGCTTGGTGCCGTGCCGCTCACCGGTTTGCCCATATCGGAAGGCTCAAACCACTGTATGCACATTCAAGTGCGGTTGTTGAGCCAAATAATTTCAACGAGTTATGCTGGGGTTGGTCGGCTGAGCTCTGACATTGGACACTGTCGCTGGTCTTTTTCCAGGCATTGCAGGCTGTTTGGACACAGTGCGTTGCAGGACGTTTGCATGTGTCTCCAAGGGAGGGAGTTATGGCGTTTTTATTGCAAGATTTTTGCGAGCATGTCCCGTCCAGCCGGGAAGCGCAGAAGGAAGTGTCTCGGGCTTTGCGCTTTTGCATCTTAGCTGCTACTGCAAAAAGTGTTTCCCACTAATCAGCCAAACAAAGCCTGTCCAAGGGGCCAATCGCCACCAAGGCATGCTTCATCTTTTTTGCCTGCGGGCAGTCCGCCAATGCCGCGCTTGAGGCAAGTAGCTTTCTCCGGGCATTGCTGTCGGAGAGGCTGGTGCTAAATTGAACCTGCTGTTTTAATGAAAAGGAGGCCAAAAGTGGAAGGGCATGTGTTCATGTTTGCCCCCATCAGGTTGGTGGGTGTATCCATGAAAGGGACTCATTTGAGCCTGGCGGGGGCCGGACGATGTGGGGACCTGGACCTCAATGCGTTGGACGTCGATCAGCAGCAGCTGCTGCTGGAGGTCTTGAACCACAGCTCCTGTCAGAAGGTGGGGGTGGACTTGGCCCCCACCATTCAGGCTGGCTCCTCCAAATGTTCCCCCGGCAGTTCAGCCCAATAAAAGCAAAGACATTCAAACAAAGCAAGCAACTGCTGCTTTTCAGAAAAACTCACCCCAATCCCCCCGCCCTCCCCCTGAAGAAAGAACAAAAACTGCTGGGCCCAAAACACGTCAAGACAAGACAAACCAGCAACACAAATCGATGAGCAAATTCAACAAGATAATCCGGCAACAAGACACTCACAACACAGTAACAAGCCAAAAACGGGCTAGGTTGAGGAGTGCATGGCAAAACGCCCGAGGTGCTCTCCAGGCTCGGTGACTTGGACCTCAGCTCCTGGGCGGATCTCTCGGAGATGCTCTGGGCCGAAGGCGTCACGCTGCAGCGCCTCTCGCTGCCCGAGCTCCGCGCCTGGCTGCGATCGGAAAGGCGGGGGGGGGGGAGCATGAAATAGACCTCGGCGACACACAAAATGGGACCTTGGAACGGAACACCCCCTCATTTTGGCTGGTTTGAAAGGGACAGGAAGCAACCCGTTCCCGCCCCCCCCCCCGCTTTTTGGCTGGTTTGAAAGAAAAAGGACAGAAAGAAAACTGTTCTGAGGTTCTCGACTTTGAGAGGGGGGGACCATTTTAGTTGTCCACTGGTAAACAAGTTTGCCCGTCCTGAGAATGTGAGGTTTTTTTGGGGGGGGGCTTTTTCACCAGAAGCCAGAACTCCTGGAATCTCAAAGGGCATCCCTTTTCAGCACCTACGAGGTCAGCGATGCGGAAGGTTCCTTGAGGTGATCCTGAGTTCCACTTTGCGAATTGCCGTTTGCCCAGGCTGCCCGAAGCATCGAACAGGCGGCCGGCCCGAGGTCCCAAGCCTTCAAGAGTCCTGACCCGGCAGCCAACAAAGCTAACTTGCGTGGAATCTCGGTTTAGTTTGCCGGGAGCCTCTAACTTAGACCTTTTGGAGCCGAGATTTTCCATTGGACCTGCCAAACGTGGGAAGGCAGACGCCAGCTTCCGAGTGCAGGGCGTTGTGGCCTGTGGTGAAGGGCGTGATCGCGTTATGCCGCGGAGTTGCCTGACGCTGGTTTCCATGGTCTGATTGCTGGAGCTCGGATTTTCCGGTCCTTTCAGCTATTCTCTGATACCAGCCTGCAGCCGTGAGGCTGGCGGCTTGAACCTCGCCTCAGCACCTCGTGATGTTCGACGATTGACGTGGCCAAAGTTCCTTTGGGCATGGACGGGAGTGAGTCATGAGACGCATCTGGCGAGCGCACGTTGCACAGGCAAGTTGCTCGCGGAGACGTGGAGGCAAAACGCGAGGCCATGGAGAAAAAGAAAGAGAGTCACTAGTCCATTCACACCTTCATGTTGGACTGATACTGCCATTCCTGCACTCGTTGACCACACCATACATTCTGAATTGGGCCCACGCCGTACGAATATGTTATTGCGTTAAAGGGTGCAATGCATCATGACATGAACTGCCCAATTGCCTTTCGAGTTCCCTTCTTCCCCCCCTTTTTTTGGTGGGTTCGAGGACTCAGACTGGCCAGTCTTCAAAGAAATGGCTCCCTTTCTACTTTTCGGGCTTGCACACCCCTCGTTTTAACCACGTTTAGGCCACTTTTGCTCTTGCCCACAGCATCAGAAAGCCTCATAACTTCCTTTGGATGGTGTTGGACCTCGAAAAACACCTTTTTGAGAGCCCAAGATGCTTGCGACAACCTTCTTTGGAATTTCCCAACAGACCAGGGTCGGCTTGCCAAAGCATGGCGTTTGCCTTTGAAATTCCGAGCTTGCTCATTCGGGAAAACAAGCTCACAATGAAGGTGAAGAAGCTGGTGAACCAGTCCGGCAGCTGATTTTCAACAGGTTGCTTTATTTCAACCACCAATTTTGGTTCGACTCAACCCTAAACCCTAAATAGGGAAGAGCCCAAATTTGCAGTAATCATTGCCAGACTTAGTGGACCTTCCTATCTTTTTGTTTTTTGGTCAACGGGTCTAAGTCTACTCAACGAAGACGTTGCCCAGCTGTGGCCGACGGGAGGACCACATTGCCGGCATCCCCACCACCACCGAGTTCCCTCGTGGCGCACGCCGCCCGCCGAGCCTGGGGGTGGTCCCACACGCGCGGACGCCGAGTTCGGCCGCGCTCAGTCAGAAAACTGCTCCCCAAAGCACGCCAGAAGGCCGAGCTTTGAACCTCGTGGTTTCCCCTTTGTCGTCAATGTTTAGTCGTGGTTTCTGTGGGCAACTGAGTTTCTGCCTTTTCTATAGCGAGCTCACCGATTCGAATGCAAAAACCCGCTCACCATGATGTAGGTCCCGTACTTGTGGATCGGTTTTGACTCTACATTGGAGTAGAATCTGCAGAAAGTTACTACCACCCGCAAAACACACCTCCAGTCTCGCCGTTAGCTTTCCCACAGATTGTTTTCCCGCCTTTTAAGGCATGTTGTTTGCTCCAAGTGAGTTTGGGCGTGGGGGGGGTGGGTGATTGAAATTTGGGGGCCTCCGCTTCCCAAAGAAGGTGTTGTAGTTCAGCCAGCTGCTGGGTGTCCCAATGCCCCCCCAGGACAACTATGTAGGTCACCTGCGCATTGATTGACGGAATGAAGGTTTCGGGGTGTGACGTCAGCCTTTGTCATCAATGTTGATTTTCCTCAAATAAGCTGCAAGCGGCTGGATGTTGTTTGTTTTTGCTCAGGCACCCCTATTCAGCACTCAGGATTCCTGAAAGCCAGACTTGCAAGGGACTCCATCTCCAGACCAAGGGATACCTGTGAGCAAACCACGTTAAGTCCGAACAGTTCACTGGGAGATCTTCAAGCTCTGTGCGCTTTCCTTTTGCCATCCCTTATTAAATGTGTAGGAGGTTCATATGCGTGAAGGCTGGGTTTGTTTTGCATTTTGCATAGCTTCGCGTAGAAGAAGATCATCAAAAACTAACTGGGGGCCCCCCATGAGCCTCATGACTTGCAGTGGGAATCCCGTACAAAGTCTAAACCATCCAAACAGCTCCATTCATAAATTGCAGAAAACCTCCCAAAATCCCATGCAAGCCTTAAACCATCCAGACAGCTCCCTCTTCTAAATCCCCCAAAAGGGGGACCAACTCCAAATAAGTCGGTTGAACTCGTTCGTTGCCTCAGGATGGGACCACTACCATGCTGAAGCCGCCCTGGGGGGTGCTCACCACCCAGAACTTCCCATTGAGCTGGGGAGCTCAGAACTTAACTCGGTGGCACGTACCAGGTACCAACCTTTTCTTAAGAATAGGCTTGGTTTCCGTCCAGGGGACTTAAACACACACACACACACACGGAAGTTGAAGTCAGTTAAAGGGCATAGCCACTGTGGGTTTGGGACCAGGGCCTCCTGAAGGGGCAAATCTGATCATTTTTGCCCGTATGGTATGTTTGTGGCGTTTCCTGCAGTATCCCCCCTCCTGTTGTGTAAAGGCAATTGCGCGAGGTTTGTTTCCTCCTAAAGGCAAGCCATTTGTCAGGGTCACGTCACCTACCTTTTCTGAGATTCGGTCCTCTATGTGTTCCATCTCTTCCATTTTGCCAGGCTGAAGCCCTGAACGTTGCAGTCCTTGCACTTGCCAAATTGCTCGCTCAACGCAGTTGATGGGTTTGTTTCACAGTGCCCCCCCCCCCCCCCCCGTGGCAGGGAAGATTACGTACAATGTGCCGCCGCGCGCCTTCAAGAGCAGAACGGCTCATTGTTGCACATGGACTCTTTTGGTGCAATCCCAAGAGTAGAAAGGAATGTCTTGGCATGCCCCACCCTGAAAGAACCAGCTAGTTTGTAGTAATAGAAAAAAGGGTGAGGGGTGATGAAGACCAGATGAACATCCTCTCTTTGGTTGTGAGAGAGTGTGATAAAAGCACACGGTATACCTTCGTGAAGTAGTATTAATAGAAACAAATAATGATGTCCTCCTATCTATCACTTCCATATTTTTTCTAAATTAAACGTTTGCTAGCTCACCAAGATAGAGCATGGAAATGGAAAGAGGAAAATGTTAATCAAATGATTAAAGCCACAGTAACAGATAACAGAGTTAGAGAAGATCGAATGTCAGTGAGGAAGAAGTAAATAGTAAACAAATGCTGGTCAAATAAACATAAAAGGAAAGAACAATCAGAGAGATATAAAAAAGGGTCTGGAGACGTAGCCTGTCCGTGAGACGTCACTTAAGCAATAATAACAGTTAAGCGTCTCTTCATTCATCACTCTATTTGGACAGGCAATATTCTGATGAGAAAACTATTAACTTCCTTCGGTCACTTCTAGCGATGAACATGATTTTATTATTGAAGATTGATTCAGTAGGATTTGACAAGTATTAGCTTGGGAGGCAAAAGGAAACCCCTTAAAAAGAGAAGGTGAGAAATACACCCCAATCGATACAAATTAGTTAACATTACTCATGAGATTCTAGTAAATAGATAGCCTTTCGTAAATAGTGTTCCGTCCTTTTCCAGCAGCTTTGAACTTTTAATATCCTTTCATTCTCACCTAAAACTCAAGAATATTGCACATACCTAAGGATAAGATAGGAAGTGAGTGAGAGATGTTGCAAGGAAATTCTAATAGAACAAAAGCAGAAAGAAGATACAAATAAATAAACTCCATGAGTAAAGACCAACAGCCTCTTCAGAGTCAAGCAAACTATCTATGGTTATAATTTGCGTTTATTCTTCATCATGCACTAATATCTTCTCCAATATCTTTGTGTAGATGGGATGAAGTGGTCACGGGGTGAATTTAAGGGCAATAATTACAGAATCTTTTTAATCCATAGCTTACTGCGTTTCACTATCTTATTGCGTTTTCTATCATATCCATCATTGTCCACTCTAGGTTTTTCACTGTGTTGGAGAGGGTTCTTGATGGACAAGAATAATTTGTCTCCCAATAGACCGTTTCATTTATTAACATTCTTTATTACTTTCATGTTCTTGGTTCTGTCATTTGCCTATTGATTTATTTATTTATGTATCTATTATGTTTCTTCATAGGCCTTTTTCGTAATTCTTACTAATCCTGATAGCCGCGAAAGACGGGAGAGCAGAAGGAGTGTTAGCCAGTTCCTCTTCTTCATATTTGTTATTACCCCCCGGGTGTTTTTTTCCCCCATCCAGATGCCTCCAACGTTTACAATGCGAGAGAGAGAAAGAGAGATTGGGAAGATAGATAAACAAGTAGAAAGGTTGCAAAGTGAACAAGTACATGAGAATGCAACCAGCAGATGAGAGACTATGACCTATTCTTGGTAATGATTAACTTTCTGTTCCAACCATCGTGATTTTCTTTACATCGCAAATTTTTCAACCTCACACCCAGAAGCATTTCTATACTTCTCAGATAATATTGTAAATGGAAGACAACAAAGATAGACATTCAAGCAATAAATGGGATGGTAAACCGAAAGGCAATGATCTTAATAACGACATGTCCATCCACAAATGTTTCCTGGATGAAGTGGAAGAGATAGAAAGGGAAGGATACAAGCTCTTGGGACCACAAACCAACCTCTCTTCCTCCGTGACTTGGACAAGGAAAGGACGTCAACGATGAGAAGAACCCAGTCCTTACACCATCCTATGATCTAAAACTCTATTATTGTCCTTTCATTTCCAGAAGATTATTAGCAAAAGAGAGAGACCGCTAGCATTTGCTATTAAAAAGGTTTTAAGGATTCTGTAGTCAAGTCTTTATGGGTTGAAGATGTTGGTGGGTGACATACATGGGAAAATCAGGATGCGATCGGAGGAAAAGAAAGAATCACGTTACTTCTGCTCACCCTCTCCTATCTTCTCTTCTTCTTCTTCCCAAGCATCACACGGCATAAGATTAACAGCAGCCTATGCTTGAGGAAGAAGTCAAGAGAGGCTTCTCACTTCCCATTTTCAATCTTTAATTTCATCAAAAGGAAACCCCTTAAAAAGAAAAGGTGAGAAATAAACCCCAATCGATACAAATTAGTTAACATTACTCATGAGATTCTAGGAAATAAATAGCCTTTCGTAAATAGTGTTCCGTCCTTCTCCAGCAACTTTGAACTA